GGGTAGTTGTAGTGGGTGACTAGGGGTTATTTTACCTCAGGAATCCATTTTTGATGTTCATTTTACCTTATATCTGATGTAGAAAAAGATGAGAATAAATTTTTATATTTTTAGCGTAGAAACACAGGAATAACTACCACAACGCCAACCTGCTGGGGGAATGCCCGCGCAGAGGGTTGGAGTGCGGACCCGCACTCCAATTTCAATTGGAGTGCGGTCCCACACTCCCTTCAGAGAAGGGAGTGTTGGAGTGTGTGTGCGAAGGGGGGTGGAGTGTGATTATCACTCCCCGTTCGTGTGCTTGTTTTCCCGTCTTTTGAGTCGGCTTCCGTTGGACGAGGTAGTTTGTTTGTGACGAGATTGTTGTGAACTCCTATCATGCCAGGCGGTAGGCAGTTGGTTGAAGGGATGATGCTTTGAGGGCTGCCTTCAAGTGGTGTCCGGATAAATTGAGCTCTGATCTGAACAAGAAATGTGTTGGGGTTGGCTGGTTTTCTGAGAGGAGACAACAGAAATGGCGGTTGTTGAGCTTGAGGATCGGTGTGTATGAGGATCAGATGGATTAATAATGAAAAGATCAATCAGAATTGATGGGTCTATCTTGGATCAGATCAGAGTGCCATGGTTCCCCATCATCTCAGTTCAAACTGAACTTTGACTCTGGGGAGTGACATGTCACAGACATGTCATCACATCCCTAACTACAACACAACTCGGCCAGAAAACAAAAACAACACAACACAACACAACACACACAACACTACACAACACTACACACACAACACAACACAGAACAAAACAAAACAAAAACAAAACAAAACAAACAAGAGTGTAATAAACCAACATGCTAAGATGTCTTAGGACCAAGAAAACAAAACAAGACTGTCTACTGAGTAGGTGATTTGAAAAAGATAAGTAAGAATAATAAAATGATGAAAAATAAAATCAAGATGAATGAAAAATAATATGAAGATAAAATAATCAGAGGAAATGGAATAAAATAATAAAACTAGGAAACCATTGGACTGAGTGGGGATTTGAGGTGATATTTTTGAAATCTTGAGGCTTGATGATATTGAAAAGTTGAAAGTTGAAATTTGAAATTCGAGCTTGAGGGGGCCTGTACTGTTTAGAACACCACATTGTGAACCCCCTGAATCGCTAAGACATCTCCTAAGCAAGAACGCCAGGACAGAAACGTGACCGAGTTTCCGTCGAGCACCGGAACCGACGGAATCAGTGGCAAAGGGTTGTTAGTTGATCAATAAGGCATAGTGAGCAAACTTGAGTAGACCGGAGCGATGAGCGATGACGGCTTGTTGACAAAGCTGAATGGAGCAGTGAGTCAATGTGTAGTCAGAGTAAGAGCAACGATGGGTCTCATAACCTGTTGAGACAAACAGGGAGACTAATGACTGAAGTTCACAGACAGACTGTCTGTGACACTTTAGGAGTGAAAAAGAAAATGATGGTTTGTATTCACTAAGGAGAGGAACTACTAGACTAATCCTGAGGAGAACTAAATAAAGGATTTGTCATGTGGTTTGATTGATGCATACAACAGTATAAGCATATACTCCAACAAACGTGTGGCACATTTCCAAGGAAATAGCCATGTTTCAGCTTTCTTCTGCAGAATTCCTGTAGCACATTTCTGCCACATGTTTCAGCCTCGCTGCATGAAGCACCCACAAGTTGACCCTGATCATCTCCCAGATGCCTCCTTGGGTATTTCAAGGGCCCTCTGTCCACCCAAAACCAGATTCCTCAGATTATTAACAACCCAAGTTAGATTACCCACTGTCACAACTGCTTAACAATTGTATCTTTCTGGTAATTTATTCTCTCTTGCTTTAATCCTCTGTGAATAAAAACCTCAAGACTTAAGGGGCATTATTGGTACATAATTATTGCCTCCTTGGGTATTTCAAGGGCCCTCTGTCCACCCAAAACCAGATTCCTCAGATTATTAACAACCCAAGTTAGATTACCCACTGTCACAACTGCTTAACAATTGTATCTTTCTGGTAATTTATTCTCTCTTGCTTTAATCCTCTGTGAATAAAAACCTCAAGACTTAAGGGGCATTATTGGTACATAATTATGCTCCCTTCTTTCTTGAGATTTTTACTACTTTCTTCTGGGATTTGAACCACACCTGTTCACAGGCCCCAGTTCCATCAGGTACTTAAATCCTCTGCTTTTTGAAAGATTCCTTTGAGGGATTAAACAACCCCTGATTCATCAGGCCCCTCTGTTTAAATTATATCAATATTACATCAATATAATTAATCATTTCTCCTGTTTATCAACCTTGTAATTACCAATGATTGTTTGAATTACCATCCAGAATCTTAAGTCATAGAATTCAAACTCTATCATATTGAGTTTTTGCATCACACTCCTTTGCATCATGGTGGCTGAAATACTATGTTTTATAGATCTAATTACATATTTCAAACCATTTGATTATATTTTGGTACTTTCTTGTCATTGTTTTATCCATATTTTCTCAACAACACACATATGTACATACTTCCAGATTATAAATACCTCTTCATACCAGAAATGCAGCTTTCCCCTGGGGGGATTTTTTATTCCCATCTGATTTGCATACTCTAGCTATAACAAGGATCTGATGGGGAACAAATGAAGAGGAAAAACAAAGCTCCTTATATACAAATTTCTGGGGAGTGGCCAGCTTGTGGCTGGAGGATATGTGGAACATCCTATGAAGAGTATGAAACAAGAGAACACATTTATCCAGAGAGAAAGGGGGAACAAGTAGTGGGACAACTGCTCCCAAGGTCACTAGTATGGAACAAATAAGGGGGGGGACATTCCAGGAAAGGAGATAGGAGGAAATAAGGGTTTCATGGATCAAGGGGATTGCTACTAGTGTGAAACAAGAAAGGGGTAAGAAGAATGGAATGGTTGGGAGCTGTGAAGTTTCTCACTGGTTGGGGCAATTCTATCATCCATGTGGCCAGTTCTTTAGTGGATGAGTGGTATTTGGATTTGTTTGAGGGTCTGGGGAAATTTAATCTGGCTAGGTTCTTTTTTTACTAAGGTGGCTTGTTGGATGTAAAAAGGTCTTTTTTTTCAACTTCTGTTTTTTAATGAGGGACACTTGACTTTTTTGGTGATTTATCTGCTGTGTAACAGGGAACCCTGTAATTTTCAAATGGCAAATCACTGACTTATATATACTTGGATATTAATCATGAGCATTTGGATGTGTAGTTGTGCCTGTGACACTCCCAACACCATCTACAGGTTTTGAACTAAGAGCATCTCCATTGCAGTCCGTATATTTGGGTCCCTATTGGGTGAAAATACAGACTTGGAAATGCAGATAGGGACTCACAGACTTGTTCTGCCACACCAGGCAGTCTCTAAATCAATGTCATATTCCAGCATCGGTGTGGTGTTGACAAGATGTTACGTGAGGTTGAAGTATGATGCTGTGTGACATTTATGGTGAGGAGTACTGTCCAATCCCTGAATCCAGGATCTGGAGAGGGACCAAGGATGAAATCTGTAAAATACAGATGCGGATGGGGACTGTGGTGGGTGTTGGAATAGAGTTCCTTGTCTTAGCCCTCAAAAGAGGAGAATGCCAGGTAAGTTTATCAACTCAATTGATAGACTTGCTGAAAAATAAGAATTTAATGTGCTGATCAATTAAATCTTGATCATGCACAGAGTTAGACTGTTCCACAAGAGAACAAGAGTAAGCCAAGCTTTTAGCTTCTGATTCAAGAGATGATGCCACTGACGTCACAAGCTTAAAGATGAATAATGATTGTGATCAATCATTGAGCTCTAGGTGAGCCTTGATTGATTTGATCACAAGAGCAAGAGAAACAGAACAAAGAACTATTGAGGTTCTAATTCCTTTACCTTGCAAACATCATTCTAATTTTGTGTAGCTCTCTTGTCAAAGTCAACATCAAACAAACTCATCAATCATATATTTCCGGCAATAAGTGGTAAGCAAGAAGTTAAGACTTCTCATGCATTTTTCTTTAAAAAGAAAAAGAGAAAACTAACTAACTAAATATTTATTCTCATCAATGATGATGTATTCGATTCATCAAACAAATAACATTATTCAGGTCTCTATCATAACAAGAATTATATTCTTTATTCATAAAGTAAAGTAATTTTCACTTGACTTTAACATTAGAATAACACAAAGATAATTCAGAAAGATACCTAACAATTAATGAACACATTTATTTATTCTTATCCTCTTAAAATAAGCATAACTTAGCCAAATTATCTTTCTGTTTTTATTTAAGCATTATTAGTAGAAATAGCAGATCAATTCTGCCTTCAGGCATTTCTTCTATTTTCTTTATATATTTTTATCTAAATGTATCTATTGTATTTTGTTAAAAGAACAAAAGCTTATAAAGAAATAAAATCTTCAAATTCAAATTCTTTCAATGGGAGGTGATTTTTGGTCTCTGGTCCCTAAATGTGGGATAGGGACCCAATTTAGGGACCGCAGTGGAGATGCTCTGACCCTTTCCCTCCCAACAGGCTTGGGTCCCAATCTCCTAACCTGCACCTTTCCAATGGGCTTGGGTTCCTGCACAACCCTCTAATGACAGACACCCACGTCCTCCAGGACAACAAGGGTGCTTTTATTTCTTCCTGCCTTTTCTCCACATTCCTTGGTTTGGTGCTTTTCAAGCCCCGTTGTTGTCCTGTACCAGCTGTTGTGCTGTTTTCTCTTAGGTTTCACATACCTCAGAGTTCCATACCTGAGGCTTGCACACTGTTTTCTCTCTTTTCTCTAGTCACACCAGCAGGGTATAAATAGACCCTGCCTTGGTTGTTGTTTCCATTCCTCACTCATCTAGATAGCTTTTGATTACATAATCAAAACCAGCTTTCACACACCATTCACCATAGCATTTCACAGTTTTCACACAGTGCCCCACAGACCTGTAACAAGCCCGGTTACAGATGTAAACACATCTAATCATCATGATGGGATTGAATTCAGTGTGTGTATATTCTCTAGAAGTGAAAATTGGAAGTAAATGTGAATCAAACAAATTATAGAACATAAGCATGTACAAGGGAAACCAGCAAAGAGGAGAGTTGAGGTAAAATGATATTGAAAAAATTGAAAGATTCAATATTATGAGAAAAGGGTGTAAGTGTAATAAGAAAGGTAGAGTGAGGAGTTCTCAAATGGATTATCAATAAGAATTAAGTGGAGGATTAAAGTGAGAAAGAAGAAACAGGAGGGCAATCTCATCTTCAGCCAAAAACAATATGTGAGTAAACAAAAATCACACAAGATATGAAAGCAGTGAGTAACACTACTACACATCCATAAGCAAAGTATAAATTAAAATCACAAAGAAGAAGGAAACAAAAGAAGAGAGGAGCAAATGGAATGAATATGTTGACCAACACCACCAGAGACAACAGACATCCCCTTCAACTCAAGATCCAAACAAAAATAAAAAATCTTGTTGTTCATAATCATCAACGCAGTTCAAAAAAAAGGAAGAAAAAGAAGGTGATTGAAAGAAGAATAAATAAAACAAAGCACACAAATCAAAATCAAAGCAAAATCATATCATATCATATCATATCAAGAATCTGAGAGACCTCTTCTAGCCAATTAGATGAACCAGGTCAGGTGAAAAAGCAGAAAACCCAGGATGGTTTTTATGAGAAAGTTTCAGAAGAAGAGCCTGTAAGAAAGGGAAAAAAGAGAGAAGGGAAAAGGGATATCAATATTAGTATGTACTCGAGAGTGCATAGAGAGAGACAAATGGAAACCATATAGAGAAGGAACAGACCATGTAAAAGCAAAAACCCCAATGGAGATCATGACAACAGTTTGAACGGGGACAAGACCTTCAGGGCCTTTGAGGCCATGAGTATTAAGGGCCAGCATGTCTGCGCTATGGACGCGTTGAGAATCAGTAGCTGATGAATTAGGAGTACGTTTTCTCAAGCCTTGGTCGCGCGAGGAGGCAGCAGAAGCTTTCAGTCTTTCGACCTCAGCAAGAGCCGCAGCGAGTTGGGATTTCAACTTGTGGATGTCATCGGTAGACGAGCTATTGACCGAGCTAGCCTGTCCCTTGGTCCCACTGGTAGAGAGAATCGAAGACGCTGGACGGTGGTTGGCTATCTCATTACCTGCATTCGAGGACATTTGCGAGTGGGTCGAGTTGCGCGCTTTGAGGGCTGCTAGGGACGGGCCCGTCGTCGACGGTCTATTCGCTCGTCCATCAAACGTTTCATCCATCGCGATATCATACACCGTGCTTTCCGGATTATCGTTCGTCGGTTGGTCCGGAGGTGAGACCTGAGGTCTAATGAATCCGGAGGCAGGATGACTTCGAACGGAATTGTAACGAGGATCCTTAGAAAAGAAAGAAAGAAAAAATGAAATGAATCACAAGGAAAAGGTTAGAGATGGAATAGTTTGTTGGCAAAATGATGGTGACGTTGGGAGGAAGAAAACAGTAAGCGTACATCGTCCTCATCCCGATTTGTGTGATTGTTGACGGGAGGGGAGGTGTGATTAGGGTTGAATTTATGACTGGCCGAGTTAGGAGATTGTTGGCCGTCCTCAGAATTAGCGGAAAGATAGACGCATCGAATCTTATGCTCAGCGATGGACCCCTTGCTCTCTTTTTCAATCAAAGACCACTGAATAATACCGGCACCCAAGAAAAAAAAAATCAAACAGTATCGTCAGTCACGTTGATTAGAACCGGAAAGGAGGAAAATAGCCTACGAGCTCAGGGAATGCTGTTGATTCTCTTTCGGGGGTAATGATGATACTCTGAACGAGGAACTTGTCCCGACATTTAGCACCAGGTTCAGGGTCTTCTTTCATGGGTTGAAGTAAGACTGAAGAGAGGAGATACTTGTGGTCAGACGTTTCATGTGACAACCAGTGATATCGTTGCTTTGATTTGATTTTTCTTTACCTGATACATCAACCCGTTCACCCGGTTCAATTCTACCACTGTTGGGTCGTACGCAATATTGTTTAGGGGCGGTAGTCTTGACCTTGAAAGCAATCGGTTGAGGATTAGGATTAGTGACGGTAAGGATCCGTTTGACGAGTTGAGTAAGTGGGCCTGATGGAGTTTTTTTTTTTATCAAGTAGCAAAAGGATGATTATGTAGTTAATATTCAGTTCGAGATTACTATGAGAAGAGAAGAGTAAGAGTAAGAGATTGCTGACGTTGGAACCCCAGTTGTGAGGGAGATACTTCGACGGACATGCTCGATCAGGATGAAGTAATCAGATGCTCTTATACCAGATCGATTTCCGATAATCGCTTTTCGTTTCGTTGATTGGGATGTTGATGGTGAAGTTGTTGATGGTGAAGTTGTTGATGGTGAAGTTGTTGATGGTGAAGTGGTAGTCGTGGTGGTGGTTGTTGCTGTGTTGGTTTGGTTTCGGTGTTGACCGGTCAAATGCGTGGCTTATGTCATCATCGTCAGCAAAAAAAAAAGAAAAAGATAAAACTCAGTCTAAAACTCAGTTTATGTATCATCACACTGTATCCATGTATGCACTTAAGGGAGAACCTAGCGCATGTTTGCATAGAGAGAAGTTGATCCCAAAGCGAGACTTCACTGAGAAGATACATCAACAAAGTGATCCAGATTGATACATATCGATCAGCATCAATCCGCCTGGTCTTGTGCTCTTACAATCCACAGAGACAACCCAGACCCACCACAACAGTCGCAAACTATTCATAGTCTATGTGCGTATAGAACAAAGCATGCTGACAGCGGGAACAACTAAGAAGATAACCATGTATGCCTTTGAATGATATTAAATAGAAGTAGAAATGTTATGAAGAAAAGAACGAACGAACGAACGAACGAGTAAAATCTGGATTTCTAGAGGATAGGAGAGGGGTGCATAGCCAACGGGAGCTTAACTACATACCTTATGAATATGATGTTCTCGCGGCGCTCGATCGACTTTCTTCTTCTTACCTATTCAAGGCTAGGGTTTCTTTTTTCGAGGGAAAAGGAGATCAAATTGGATGAATGGGTGTGACAAGATGGGAATTGTAGATGAAGAGAACCGGAGTGAATGATGAGGTCAATCAACAAGGGCACAAGTTACCCTCAGCTTTATACATCCACTGCTGACACTGGGTACTTGGGAGAAGGAGGAGGGGGAAGAGGAGGGGGGGAGGAGGGCAGGAAATCTCAAGAACAAGTTCAAAAAGTCTCCTGCGGCTCAAGATTTTCTGCCACAAGCAAGGAGATTTCTTTCGATTTGCTCTTCAAGAAAAATCAATAACACACCTGCCTGCCCATATTGGAAGCAAAGAAAATTGAACCCGGAAGAGAAAATCGAAAAAAGTTCCTTATTACTATCCCCGAACGTGACTATGTAGTCATATACTATGGCTGTAGTACTTCGTCGGGGAAAAAACAGTAGAAGAGTGAAAGAAGACTTACGCCGTGGACACTTTTTCTTCGGTGGAATGAGAGAGAGAGAGGAACGATGATAGCAGACGGTTTCACGAATGAAAGACGGATGATGATGGGGATGAGGATGAAAATGGGTTGTCTCTCCGTTCAGGCGGGGCTTTTTTGAGTGATAATACCTGTAGGATCTCTTGTTGGATATATTTAAATACGTTGTATCATTTCATCGGGGGATTTTTTTACCAAAAAAAAAAACAGTGAACCAGAGAAAAAAAATCAGCTTTTCAGAGGGATCGCTGTGAGTTGCATATAACCATACAATATCAAGAATATCACATCCTTATTTACGGTGTGTGAGGATTATTGACGGGGGTTTTTGATTTAATTTTTTAACGAAAAACGTAAACAAAAATTTATGCAGAGAGTGTGGATGTGAATTGTAGGACCGATTGACAGAGATAGCCTGAGATGAGCTACAAGTGGATGGTAGAAGCCCAAAAGGGGAAAGCAAACATCTTTCTTTAAAACTGTAAAAAAACACTATCGAGGACATGAACAGCTCAAACATTAGTATAACTATAACAAGCTACTAAAGTATCACCAACAACGCTTTTCGGGACAGAGCATGGTCCCAGGGCAGTTGCCGGAGAAACTCTGTGTACTGTGTCCGATCCTGCACCACCCATGTCGACACAAAAAGGCTCTGGGACAGCACTTGTCCGGTAAACAATCCCATTAGGCTTGCAAAGCTCAACCAAGGTCTCTTACTATGAGGTGGTGGCATATAGTTTATCGAGGTCTGGAAAACATCAGACCAGATCTGTCCGTCCTTTGGATACCCAGTCCATAAGCATACTTAAGTTTTAGCATGTTCAAGAACTTGTTCAAAAAAGAAGAAAAAAAAGTTGCACACTATTCACAAATTGTCTTGGCGGTTTCTTGATTGACTGACAAAAAAAGAATTGAAATAGATGGGAGTGTGGTGAGGTGGATATTGTAAGAAGGAAATATTAAAAAAAGAAAGCCGTGATTATTTATTCGAGCAGGAGAGAATTTACTAACTGAAGGCCCCAGATTGTCGAACGACAACAGCACATGGGATGGATGGTGTAGTCGATGATCAAAAGTTCAAATGTTCTTTAAAAACACCCCATTCCATACGATATCTACCACTTGTATAGCTATCCGCCATCGGATTGACCATCTTCACGAATCACTTGTGTCTGTTTTATCTTCTGTGATGTTAAGTCTTGAAAAGACCCTCCTCCTTCGCAGAACTGCTCGCAAGGAGCATCGCCTTTTTTTGTTACTGAATTTTGTTTCCGCTTTATGATCCATTCACATCCACATCCGCCACGATTTTCTTTTTTTTTTCAAAAGAATGTCTATCGACATCCACCACATGTGGCTAGAAAGTAAGGATGGGGCTGCAGGCCGATTTGGATTTCCCGCCGCTGAGCACGGGTGGTTTTAGGACATCTATAATGCAATTGACACTTATCCTTACAGCTTATAGAGGTCGGCAACCACAGGTGCTCGATCCACTGACGAACCCGATGGCCCCGCCTTGTTTGCCCAATCATTAAGGTGCCTGTGTGATCCAAAAAAATTTGGAACACATCATCCCCTAAGAATTGTTTTTGACAAGGGAAGGAGGTTCAACTCAAGGGAGCCTGCAACAAAATCTACACTCGCATGCTCCAACGACGCAAACGTTGCGATTCACACTCGTCCAGAATTCCTTTGGTACTTTAGGGAGGAATTTAAACATGTGAATTATCAGAATCGGAACAGAAACCAAAAACCGATTTTCAACCCCAGCACGTGTGTTGCGATAGACATATCAACCAGGTGGATGACTATCCGGTTTGCAGAGAATACCTCGACTTTCACACTCATATTCACGTGGTTCCTTCAGGTCGGCCCAACATGAACTGAGGTACAAAGTTGGGGACTGATCAATGACAAGACTGCGGTTGTTGAGAAATGCTCGCACTATCAACATGCTTGAGAATGAGATTGATGAATTGGAGTTTTTTTTCCCCTTTGTTTTCCTAGTTTGTGGATGCCTGAGGCCATTATCAGTTTTTTTTGTGAGACAAGACCCAGTTACTATGGATAATGAGTTGCTCATGCCAGAGATACCGTGCATCAAATCACCCATGAAATTGCTCTCAGTTCAAAGTTTTTGAAGGGAAAGGAAAGTCAAAACAGAAAAAACTTAAATCCAATTGGGTGGGCCATTGTAGTACATATTGGCGGGATTCATGATTGAGATGTATCAAATTTCAAAGCCCATTTCAAGGGGCTTATCAACAATTGTTTTCAAAATTTAGGAATCTGTGCAGATTGATCAAAAACCCCCAAATCTGCCCAGGAACTCATAAATTTTTCAAAATGTTGTTCAATAGATTTGAAATTTCAATCAAGAACCCTGCAATTCCAAAATTAACTTTGTTCCAAATTTTGAGCAAAGTGATCCTTCAAACAAAAAAAAAATACTAATACTGGTTCTAGATTTTGATTTCTTTTTCATTGTTCAAAAGTAGGATCCAAATCATAACAATACTTTCCAACAGAGGGAACATAAATCTCAACAGTTCTCCTAAGTTTATGTGATGTGACAGATGAGAAATTGTATGACTTAATTACATGATCCACAAACTAATCTCAACTAAATGAGATGAAGATACTTCATTGGAAAGTGACCCTTATCTGTCTTGGCTCAATGTTTTTTCTGGGGACTCTAATTAGTAGCATTGTATTCAGGAATACTGAATCTTTGCTCTTTCTTCTTTTGAGATTCCAATTTAAGGAGCCTAAGAAGCCAAGATTGATCACTTTAAGCTAGATAGGATGTAGATTGTGGCTTGGGCAAGTTGTGTGTTCAAAATTGATTGTTCAAATAACTTTCTCTTTAAATAAAGATTAGGAGCTTCATATAATTTATGTCAAGAGAATCAGACATTGAAACTTCAGATTTCTTTTTTCTCAAGACATCTCTCAAAGTGTTTTGGTTAAGTTTCATGTTTGTGTAAAAATTCATTTTGAACAACCTTGCATTGCAGGATCATTCATCTGCTTGCATTCTATTTTTCAAGAGCTTCCTAGTGCATGTCTAGAAATAACATGCACTAACTTGCAAATTTTCTTCAGTCATGTCATTGAAAGAGCCATTATGATTACATACAGGCTTCAATTGATGGAAATCTATAGTCAAATGCTGATAGTGACAACAATGAACATACCACCTAGATATCATGATTGAAGAAGTCTTTATTTTAATAGCATGTAGGCAAAGAGAATCAACAGTTAGAAGAGCAGTCATGAATGTCAATTTCTCCAGGTCTCAAACCACAGAATGCAACCATAGATGAGTGAAGCTATGTTCACAAGGTGGCTAGCTAGGCAGATGAGATTTGGCTTCCAAGAAGGAGCTGGTTGGGCAGTCAAACTTTCTAGTGTATGTAGACTGCAAGATGAAATACTCTGATTGAGAAAACATTGCCAGATATGTAACCGACCCGAGTCTTCAATAAACCTTCAACCCCAAGCTGCTCATACATGCGGTGCAACCCTAATCTTCTCTTACTTTCCACCCATCACTCTACTCATTAACCCGCCAAGCGCACCGGGGAGTGTAGCAGGCAATTCATCTACAACAACTAAACAAACAAAACAAACAAACACACGTGGGGAGATTCAATTGGCTTGGGAGGCTGTCTTCGTCGAGGAAGTTTGTGCGTGTAGCTCGGAAGACTATTTGCGCCGAGAGGGGGGAGATTATATAGTAATATGCAACATGGTCATCTTCTTTTTTTTTGGGTTTTTCGTTTCTTTTTTTCTTTCTTTCTTTCTTGATAAAAAAATCTTTGTGTGCTCATTTAAACCATGCGCAGTTAGTCAACGATCAAAGGAAAAGGAAATTATCGCTTGAGGGCCTTCTCCAAAACTAATAAGTAACAAGTCAAATTTGGGTCAACAAACCAGATTGCAATAGTATGGTGGGGTAAAATAGAACGGACGGACCTGTTTGGTAAGCCACCTCACTGGCATCTGTGCCCTGAATCTCCAAGGCGATGCCGACCAAGGCCTCGCGAAGGGCCCTTTTTGAGGCAGCGTAAACCATCTTGTTTTTGATTTTAGCATCATCGGGTGACCTATCAGTAGTCGAGAGATAATGCGTTAGTCGAAATTCTTACATTTGATAGTATGATGAGGTGACATACCAAGTAAAGAAGCACAGCTTGTTCCTTTTACCCTCTGTTTCCTCTGCACAGTATTCGAAATCGTAAACCGCATAGCGACAAGATCCGGAAGGCAAATCCTCTAAGAAATCGTCGTAGGATTGGGCTTCCGAGACCTTCTCGACCACGATCTCTTTGGAATCATCCGAAATCGCATAGATGATGTATTTGCTTTCTACAAAAGTTGGACGATCGAGTTATTTTTGTTGATGTTTATTGAGGGGTGGATGATGATAGTGTGATCGAAACCTACTCTTCTTCAATTTGAGATCGATGAAGTCATGCATGCATTGCGGGTGGACAGTGACGCCTAAAGCTCAGGTTTTATTTAGCAAAGCTTGAAAAACAACAGCAAGCCAATCAAGAAGATGAGAAGAGGGAGATGATGAATTTACCGGATGACTGTGGGGTGGAGGGAGGGGAGTTGAAGGGCAGTCAGCTCAGATGAAAGACCGGATGAACGACAACGCGGGAGATGAGGGAACGGACCATTTTGGAGCGACCAAGTTGGGGATAGACGAGGTCGAGTGTTTAAAGTTGTGGCTTGTAGTAGTATCAACTGACGGACACCTGTGAAGGATGTTGAAGTCTGAAGCTATCTGACTATACTCTCTGTTGGTCTTTTATCGTTCTGGGTCGAAGTTGACGGGAATATCGACGGTCAACAAGTGGCGCTTTCAATGGGTCTCATGACGAACTCCGGTCCAATCGGTACATATATTCGGGGATCTCCACGGGGGGGAGGATCGATCAAAACACTGCATTGGGTCAATCCGAATTGTAGCGCTCGTTCTGAATTGTCTTCCGCCCTGGTGGGGCAATTCAAGCTCCAACAGGCAATGGTCAAATCTAGAACCAAAAGATTGTTGTCACTATAAAACATCTTGATCAAATCAATGACAGCCCAATCCTCAACCAAATCATTCGTTGTGCTACCACAATTTTTTTATTGAAAAAGGAAGGTTTTGACCTTTGATTGAGTTTGACTATGATCACTATTTTCTCCAATAATTCTACCTGAATGAAATAATGAAACCATGAAATCCTTCAAGTATTTCATCATGCTAGGAGTCAGGACCAATCTTCTCCTTCTCTTGATTGTCCTTCCTTGATAAGCTAGAAAAATGGGCACATTACACACTAAATCTTAAATGGGCCACACTGACCCAATTAAATCAGAGCATCATAATACCATCTTTAGTGCATTTTGTGATTAAAAAAAAGAAATCAAACAGATTAAGATTGGGATGGTCAATTAGATTGGAAGAAAATCCTATCAAATTCAAACAAGACTTCTGCTTGATGATTTCTGAAATTTGTCAAAACCAGCATAACAGTCCAATTTTTTCATGAAAGTTCAATGCTAAAAGTGATGAAAAACAAAAACTTCTATCAAATTAGCCAATATGAACAGAGCCATGATTCCCATATAACAATGGCTCATTTACAATCACCCCCAGACAGATTCAGAAGACTGAGAGAACATGACTGTTTTCATTGATTTATTGATACACCCAATCTTGGATTGATCAAACCAACTGTCACCCCACTTGCTTATATTCTGAATGAATACAATCTCCATGAGCTCACATCTCACATTATGTATCACAGATCAAATACAACTATGTATGAGGAAAAACAAACAAGGGTTTTCCTGAGACCCACATGTTTATATAATGGGGAGGTTGGGCTGATTGTGATTCACTAAACTTGTGAGAGCCTTATATATGCTTCAAGAACACAAAGAAACACTGATAATCAGCTGAAGTGTTTTGAGAACACACCTCCCCAACTGAGAGGGAGTCAAATTGACCCAACTTTCACTTTTTTCCACCAATGTTGTATCTCTCTAACCAGCTATAACTATGTCAACCTGTTCAGGTTAACTATATTCCTGTAGGAATGTTAATGTAGTACATCTTTCACATATCATAAATTTATCCACAAAAGAATATGGAAAAAAAGAAAAAAAAAACAATCCAATGACCAACACAACCAACCATATTCCACCCACCCTGTTCACTCTTGTTTTTCTTGTTAGCTTTTCATATCAACTACATATATATATATATATATTAAACAGGAATGAATAATGATAAACATAACAAAGTTCACTACACACAAGAAGAAACTCCATCTTTACCCTTTGTTTTAACAAAAAAGGAAGAAAAGAAAAGAAAAAAGACAAGAAAAGAGAAGAAAAGAAAGAAGAAGGCAAAGAAAAAAAAAGAGGAATGAGTATGTCCATTGATGATCAACAACAACACTGCAAAAAAAAAGAATATTTATAAAAAAAAAAAAACTAGTGAAAGACGAGAGTAACAAGATGAGGCGAGAGAGGGGGGTAGGGAGGGAGGGGAAGAAAGAGGTCCTACTGATTGCGATTGAGGAGAGTGGGATTATGACCAATCGGAAGATTAGCGACGGGAGCAGGGTGGAGAGTATTATTGGAGCTAGGGGCCTGGAAGCAGTCCGTCGATATCGTGCAAAGAGAGGACGAAGTCCTGCTGACTATCCAGAGGTCTATCACGAAGAAGATGGTCCCCAAGGAGAGGAGGGTTGGGAGTCGCGTTGGTATGCCCGCCGCTAAAGAAGTCATGATTATCGACCAAGAAGGACGAGAACAAGTCTTCATGCTCTTCATTAGTAGTAGCAGTCGTCGTCGTCGTTGTCGTTGTCGAAGAGGGGATGAGAGGATGAGCCTGTTGGAGTCTTGTGAAGCCGTCGGACTCGGTAGGATTTTCAATGTTGGCAACGGTGTGATGAAGGGTATTGGTATTATTATTGGTAATGAAGGCATTGTCGTTGTTATTAAGAAGAGAATGGGTATCGAGAAAGGAGGCGAAAGGATGATCATCCAAGGACGGATCGATCAAGTTCGGATTGAGAAGAGAGCTCGACCCCATCATTGTTGTTGGTGTTGTCATCATCGTCGGCTGATGATGCTGAGGAGGATGGAGAGGATGATAAGAGAAATGATTAGGAACAGCAGCAGCAGACGAAGAAGGGATTGTAGAAGGACCAGGCGGGGGCGGAGGATCATCGAGCGTTCTGAGAGCCTGAGCGATTTCGGACGCCGAGAGTCCAGCATTGATAGCCTGACTCAGCGCGGCGATAATCTCGGGCGACAGGGAGTCGAGTTTAGTGTGAGTGGAGGAGGGATCCTGGGCAGAAGACGAGTCAAGATGATGATGATTCTGAGGAGGAGGAGGAGGCGGTCTCAGATGACGGTTCAAGGCGTCGGTGATATCGGCCAAAGCACCCGCCGTCGGCTCTCCGGCCATCAAATCGAACTCGATCGTTGAGCGGCCAGCAAGATCATCCTGTTCCTCGAGGACAGGTCCGGAGCCCAGCCGGAGCTCGGCGGCCGTCCTGTTGAGTCTACCAGTCTTGCCGAAGTCCGACTGAAGTTGATGATGAAGCTGCTGCTGCTGCTGATGATGATGGTCGGGCTCATCACTAGCCGGCTCGGCCGAGAGGGGGGTGATGCCTTCGGAACAATCGCTCGGTGGGGGCAATACGGGAGGACTACTAGCGGCCATCAACTGGCCATCCGAATATCCGATTCCCATCCCGCGCTCAACAGCCGTCGACGTCCGTAGATCTGCTGGGAGGCCACGAAACATCGCCGAACTCAAGCCGCTCTCTTCTGCCCCTCCTACGAGCCCGACACGCGCTTGGTTGCGACTCCGGAAATCTAGGCCTTCGGAGGATGGACGCGATTCGAGCGGCGATGGGCCCCGCATCCTCTGCCCAAAGAGCTCCTCTATCTGCGAATCTTCCGAAGATATTCCATTGGTGTTCGTCGTCGTTGTAGCTGTTGTCTCTAACCTTCGACACCATATCGTCCGGGCCATCGTTTGCTTGATCGGTTTCGAGGACTGCTGTTGACTAGAATGATGATCTGCTTTTTTCCGTGATGGACCGGAGGTCGATGTCTTGGGTGTCGGACATGGGGGTGCGAGAAGCGAAGAATCAGAGGTGGTCCGTGACACCGGCAGAAGATGAGCAGGTAAAGGTTCTCGATAACCAGAAGACTCGATCGACGTTTTCTTCAGTCTTCTCGATTTAGATGGCCCAGGAACCATCGGATTGAGGGTCTCATGAGAGGAAGAAGCCTTGATAGATTTGGATTTCCGGGAGTGGATCGATTGGTTTTCTTTTAACTTGGGTAGAGCGGGGCGGGAGGGAGAAAAGATGAAGTGTTTGTTGTTCTGGCTTTTTCCAGAAGAAGATCCCGAGTTAAGATGGGCATCCAATAAGCCCACTGATCCGGCCAACAACGGATTAGACGATGATTTCTCGATTTTTTTGCTAGGTTCGGCAACAGGCGGAAGAGGTTTATTCTTATTTGATGAGCCCAAGAAGCGACTAGGTGAGAAGACCTTATCAGGCATCGCAGCTGATGGGAAGTTGGATAGATAGGAGCCTGAGAGGTTGGAGGCGTCGGTGGAGGTATCGATGAGATGATTCTGAGAGTTGAGTCTCCGCAGTAATGAGTTAGGACTGCCGTTGAGGAAGGATGGTGAGAGCACGTTGCCAAAGTCAAAGAGTTGGCCAGGTGAATTCCGCATGGGAGAGAGCTTTTTGGTGGGGTTGAGATGACTGTTAGGTGGGGGTGTCCTGGGAGGTGAGATATAGATGTCTTCCTGGAGAGGTTCGGGATGAGGATCACTAGAGAGGTGATGATTTGAATAGGAGCCTAACAATGGTTCTTCTTCAGGGTAGTTGATCTTAGTAGGATTCTGCTTTGGATGGTGGCTTGAAGACGCGTCGCCGGGACAGAGACTCGAGCGTAAGGTGTCACGTGTAGAAGCCAGTCTGGTGTTGGAATCGATTTTTTGGCTGATGCTACTACGTGAAGTCTTTCGAGAGCTGTGTTTAGTTGGACGTGGTGGGGGAAGAGGTGGAGAGAGTTGGGGGTTCTCATATAGTTCATCTTCCTCTTCAGAGATGTAGCCGAACTTGGTGATCCCCTTCCTCTGTCTGAGTGCATCACTCTTGGCATTAGCCTTGGCCACGCTCCTCTTGACGATCCGGGCTTCCCGCTCGGCAGCCAACGTTAACTGGGAGGGTGAACGCGAACGACGTATCGGACGATTGAGAGTTGATTGTACCTTGGTGATCGATGCCGTAGGACTGGAGAGACCGGCGGGTAAGTCGGAAGGACATGGGCGTCGCGCGCGGGAGGAGGAGGAGCGAGTGGGTATGATAGCTGGACGGGGCTGATTGGTTTGTTTGGGTGCCCTGGGTCGTACGCTACGATGGTAACCGTTCTTATTCCAATGAATACTGCATGCTATCGATATCCCCAAAGTCGCGTGTTTACGCAGTCAGTTGAAAATATTTAAAATCTTAAAAAAGATGTTTCCGGAGTGACATACGATTACAAAGTTTTTCTTCTCCCCAGGCTTCACTCCCATCAGAAAGGATGATGGGTTTGCTTTTCTTGTACCAGCAAGTACTTTGTTTGGTCCGACAGTTCGAGCAGCCTTCGGCGTCATGTTTGAGAGGTGGTCTGGATGATTCTAAGATGTTTAAAGACGCGTTGAGTGAGTGTGTGTGTGTGAGTAAACTAAGAAGAAAAAGGATGGAAGAACTGACGCGAAGATGAAGAAGGTCTTGAGGCAGGCTGTTGGTTTCTGTCGAAGCTTGGCTGTTGGGATGAGGTTCGTTTACGTTTTCGTGCTTGGAGTAAGGTCTGATCGAGACGAGGCTGGCGATTGCTGGTGGTCGTAGATCTCTGAGTGCTGCCAGCTCCAGCCAGGTCGCGTCGATGGGTGTCGTCGCTCTGGATGTAGAGTGCGTCGTCATCGCCGATCGGATCCCAGCCTGGGGAGGTGAGTGTGATGCTCCTCTTGGAAGGTTTCGGTGCGGGTTGATCGGCTGGGGCTGAGAGGGTGTTGCTGGTGTTGGCTGGGATGAATCTTCTGGTGCTAGTCGAAGCTCGGGGTAGTCGCTGCTCTGGTTGGGTTGGCTGGTATGCTTGATGGCTGCTCATGGGTGAGGATGCCTTGAGTTGTCGGTTCCGATGCTGGGATATTCGGGATGGGTTGGCCGGCTGGGGCTCGGTTGGATGCTGCCGGCGATTCATCCCTTCTAATCTGGCTTGGCTTGGCTGGCGTGGTGGTGGTGTTGGTTGGCTCTGCTGTGTATGTAATGGTGGATGGGGGATGGCTGCTGGATGGGTGGGGGGTTGTTGGAGTGGAGGAAGGAAGGACACGGACTCAGCCTAAAGAAGACGCGTCGAGACTCAATTATGATGATGATAGGATCAGCAATAAATATCAAGACTGACTCACTTGATCAGAACAATATAATCAAACACCAAACATCACAATCCAAACTTCAAACAGGAAAATCACTTCAGAAGAAGAACAGATCAACTGAAACTGTTTTCCTATTATGTAGGAATCACAAGAGCACCGCAAGTTTTCAAAATAGCACAAGTCAAATTGGCACTCTACTTGGTCCTGGGAGTCGGATCTATCGGAAAGTACGTCTTTAGGATATACGATTAGCCAAGGAATCACTTCACTTAAACAAAACTATTTTCGTGTGACTAAACAAGTGCCACAAAAGTCACTCTACACACGTCCAGCTATGCCAATATCCGCAGTGACTGTGCACCACTTCACTTATAGCGTGGAAATTGGTAGATAACTTGGCTTTTTTTATGTTCTGTTCCTTCGAAGGTATCTTCACATCCGGTTTCAAATACAGTTACAGTCAAACCCTTCAAGCCACATACCCCATAGTGGGCTGAATTTTGGCTATGTGGTTTGGCAAGTTATGCAGTTACAAGGATGAGCTACATGCAAAAATAAAAATTTGGTGGACTGAAATGAGGATGTGGTTTAATGGGGGTTTATGCCCCTGAACGGGTGTGTCAGTGTGGTCAGGTGGGTTTGACTGTATAGCAAGCTAGGAGAATCCACAAGAATTTTGTTAGTTCTATTGTCACAGCCAATCATCAATAAGGCTTACACAAAACCTTGCATGGGGTCAAACTTCAAGCAAAGTAAAGCCAAGTAGGCCCCTAATCTGTAAGCTTAAAGTGGTAGGTCAAGGTACATGAGTCTGGGAGGTACCACCAGCCTACAAGACAATTAGGTTAGTCTTGCCACAGAAGAGGCCTTACAAGACATCAGCACCTGAAAGATTTTTCTTTTTCCAGTGGCAGAATCAATGAGGCTGCAGATTTATCAAAACATCATATTAGCCCGTTTCACAATAGCCAGTTCCAATCGCTGATTAGAGCATCTCCACGGGGGTCGCTAAATTGGGTCGCTATCCCACATTTAGCGACCCAAACTTGAAAAAGATGACCCACCGGAGTCACCATCCGGGTCACTTTTTTACAATTTTCTGCCTCGATCCCTATCCAGTCTTCAAACTTGAAGACTCGATAGCGACTCTGGATGCAAGGAGGATCACAGGCTACTCCTGTGTTCCTTCTGTGAAACCCAAACACCACACATCACCACCTCGCCCAATCATCAGATAGCGACTCCCTCATAACGATGCCCGGTGTGTGCCTCAGCACTTTGGGTCTTCAAACCTTGAATTCTGGTCGCTATCGTGAGAACATAGCGACCCGAAATTAGCGACTCCCGTGGAGATGCTCTTAACTTGTTAAAAGTTGCTGATAGCAATTTTTTTTTTTGGATTGATCTGGAATAATCTGGGGGACTCTGGGCTACACATTCAAAAATGGATGTGTTTTAAGTATCAATGATTTGCTGATTGCAGCTAAAAATTTTGCTGATAACTGGCTATTGTGAATTGGGCTATTCACCCCCAAGTTAGCTAAACCATCCACTATTAATTTCTCTTCTCAAATGTATAATACAGTCAGCACACTTTAGAGCTCAATTTTATGATTTTCCACACATTTCTTTTGTACACACATTCCCTAAAAGGCAATTGGAATGAGGGAACCTCCACTCATGACAGAGGATTAATTACATAGGATCATTATATATAAAGCCTCCCTTCCTGAACCTTTTATTGGGGTCAGGAATGGAAGAGGTGAGATCTCTGATCAAAACCATCCAAAAAAAATTCAGAAACTGTTTGATCTAAATAAATGAACAGAACCATAGATCTGTGCCTTGGTCTGACATGATGAACTGTTGAGTATTGAGTTCTCAGTTCAAGCTGAGCTACATCATCACCATCAAGGAAACAACAAAATGCTGACAAATTTTTCCAGAATTTCATTGTTCCAGGACTTGTTTTTCCAATCTGACCCCTTCATTTGGATGCCTGCAGCAGTGGGCCACTACGCTACGCTACGCTTTTGTAGCGTAGTGGCGCTTTTTTGCGCCAAAAAATGTAGTGTTAGTGTTTTTTTGTGGATTTCTGCTGCACTACAGGCTGCTAACAGCGCCACAGGGCCAAAAAACCACTAACAAGCATGTTAGCATAGCAAAGTGGGCCCTTTTTTGGGGCCTATGCATGTAGTGTTAGTGCAGATGTGGCAGAATTCTGCTACACTACGCTAGCAGAATTCTGCTACACTATGCTACACTAACACTACGGTTAGTGTAACTGGCCCACCGTTGATTATAGTCATGTGCCACAGCCACAATTTCCCTGATATTAATGTATGGGACAGAATTAGCCATTCAGAAAAGCTGGCACACTGTTAGCATTTGACAAACCAAGAAATTACCATTAATAAGTTTGCACTACTCTAGCCAGATCTGTTTATGAAAGTGTGAGGTTGAAAGGATCACATCAAAATCCTAATTTACCCTCCCATTGGTATCTGTTGGTTAATTTCCTGCTGGAGTGAAGATGCCGCTAAAACACAGTTTCTTTTACAACAAGAACTGATCCAGGTGAGACCTGTTTGACTGGCAGTTTAACTTGGCATGAATTGTTTATCTAAGACTATATGTAGAATTAACTTGTTTGACTGAGGAAGGATCTTGGGTGGGACTTGACAAGAGATTATGTAGGTAGAGATTAAACTTTGTGAATCAACAAGACAAGTTGCTTGGGTGAAATTTCAGTCCATTTGACACCTGATCTCATGGTTTTGGCTGATGGTTGTAGTTGCCAAGACAATTTCAGGATCTGTAATAAATACTTCCTGTGATCTCACTGTGTTGGTGGAACTTGGTGAAGTGTTTTACATACTTGGTCTACAACAGAAAGAAACTGTACTGGTTTGACTCTCATCAGGATATTATGAGGGGTGTGATCCATGGATATTTTCCAAAATCATCCATCATACTTTCATGAACTTATCAACTTCCATCATACCTTAATATCAACCATGATTTCCAAATATCTCCTTTTTATAATTTGGCCTGTTTTGGGTGTTCATGGAAGGATGTCAGATACCAAGAGTAATGATGTTCAAATAATTGATCATGGTGAATTACCTAATTATAAATGAAAAATATTTATTGTTTTCTTATAATGATAGAAGTTTCTGGCTGACTATCTGATGCTTTGGGGATACCTATCCCAAATATGCCAAAACATTATCAGTTTTGGAAGACATGGAACCCGTTGAAAAGAAACCAGTTATCATTGGTTCAAAGCGATCATTATCTTTGGAAACAAATATTAACACTGCTGCTCAAGAAGGACCTAGTGTGTATCACACCGGAGAGAAGCCCAAGATGGTGTGGCTTGATGATCTAGTTAGACCAACTAACCAGAAGAATTCAATTGAGCAAAATTGTGAGTTTATCTCTTCTAGTTCCTTCCAAAATGATCATGAGAGCTGAAATGCTGGTGGGAAAAATGTCTGTTCAAAGCAATCAAACCCAATTCAAAGAGGCTGAAAGTTTTTGATCTTATGCAACCAATTCAAAGTGATGTTTCAAGATCAGATGACCCTATTTCAGTTCATAATGAGGAGGTAGAAACAATAATGTCAGATGATGAATTCATAAAATCTCTACTCAATGAGGAATATCTGGATGAGCATGAAATTGGCAAGTAAACCATCCAATTAGTAGAAATATCTCTCATAAAATCATGAAACTAACAAGATAGTCACCTAAATTTTTCAACCTCTCACCTCCTACACTCTGCCATATTTCACATTTTCCAGAACTCTCTAATTAGTTCAATTTCTTTCAGATTGGAGCTGAAAGCAAGAAATAGAAACAGCTAAATAAATCATCCTCATCACTTAGATCATTCCCAAACAATTAACTGAAGCAATCACATCCTCAAGACATACCCCCTTCTTGGTTCCTTTTCTTTTATTTAAATTTCTTCAAACCATCCATAATTCCTAATTGTTCACATCTCCAATCCAAATACACATCAGCACCATGATGAAACAATAATTTGATGCATCTAAAAAATTCTTGGCCCAACCTCAACAGAAATCCAACATCCAAATATGAATTAACTTCTTAATCTTCAATCAAAAACACCCCAGGATCCTCAAAATTGCACTACTTTGAATCCTGTTTTTTGATTTAAACACTAACATGAGTTCATCTAGTTTTTTGGGAATTCAATAAAATTTGGCTTTGGCTTGGTCTTATTATCTAATAAATAACTCTACATCTCTTGTTATTTTTCATCAATTTTATCAGAAAATATATGATTTTTGATAACTCTTACTTGTCTTTCTATTTGTTCAACTGATCTGTTATTTTATTTTTTTTCTTAAGCCTTATTTCTTCAATGAAAAACTGTCATCCTGGCTTTGATAAGAAAGACATGCATAACAACATGCATGGTGTAATGTAAATTACTAGCAAGGGACATGCACATGCAGGGCACTTCACAAAAATCAGCGCAGCCCAGGGATGCCATTGTCCCTGAGACGTCCCCGGGCCGGGATTCCATCCACAGGACATCCCTGTCACATCCCACTTAAAAAAATTAGCACAGCCCAGGGATGTCATTGTCCCTGAGCTGTCCTCACAACCTGCATGCGGTCCCCAGGTTATCACTGCCCCCCTGGCATCTGTATCATGTCCCACACTGACTCAACCGTCACGTAGTGATTTCCACTTGGCTCCCATGGCATCTGAGTCTCCCAACAGTAAATAACATGAAGCAACAAGGATTCAAATCTATAGAGCTGAAGGAATCCAATGAGAAGGATGGAACTATTATTATTACTACCACTACTACAGTACTACTACTACTGATGATGGTGATGATGATGATACTCTAGTATGTATACACACCCAGGGCACTTCAAAAAAATCAGTGCATCCCAGGGATGCCATTTTACCTGAGATGTCCCTGGGACGGGATGCCGTCCCCAGGACATCACACTTCAAAAAATCAGTGTGGCCCAGGGATGCCATTGTACCTGAGCTGTCCCTGCAAGCCGCATGCCATCCCCAGGTCATCACTTCCTTTACATTTGCATAATGTACACTCTGTACAGTGGAGATTGAATATGTGCTTACCCTGGTCTTGGAAAGAGGTTGGATGTACATGAGCCCCATGATTTCACCTGTCAGCAAGTGAAATACCTTTTTCATGGTGTAATGTTTTCTTTCCAATTCAAAGAAGTCTTGATGATTCCAAGAAAACAAAAAAAAATGTGAACACTCATTCTTTGTCAAAATAGAAAATACACAATTCTAAGGGCATGTATTGTGATCAGCTCATCAATCAGGTGGCAATTAGTAAATAACTTTTCTTTTGAAAAACAGATAGAAATTGAATTTTCAATTTGGTCAACATTAGGTTATCCCTAGAAGTACAAAATACTCACAGCTATCAATTTTTCCAAGGCTTTGTATAATGGAGAGTGGAATAGAAGGGAAAAGGTTTTTTTTAGATTGAGTGCCTTGTCTTATAGAAAGAGTTCACAGCACAACTCATGCTCAAAAACAGTGGTCATTGTTATGAATCCATATTTCATCACATTTTGAATTCTATCCAGAAGTTGCTGAGATCCATTCAATTAATTTTTATTATTAAGATTTGGGTATAAGGGTTATGACTGATGTTCTAGGGTTCTGGTTAAGCATTATCCAGGTTTGTTTTTCAAGTTTGAGCAAAGAAAATCACCCAGCTCCCATACAATAAACATGCACATCTTCAAAAAAGTGGGAGAAGATGCTTCTATTAAGAGCAAATGGTCTTGATGTTAACCGCTGTGGTGGTGGAAGCGCGCCGCGGCCAAAGCTTTGGCCGAATTGTTTGGATGTATGCGGAACGCCCGCGGCTGATGTGGAAAGCATGCGGAGCTGACATTACACATGCAAGCTGAGGAAAGCGGCAGCATGTTAGTGGAAAGTCTAAGCTTTCTGAGGCGCGAGATAGCGGGGAAAAGCAGGCCGAATGTGCAAGGTTCCAAAAAGCTTGCTGCGGGGAATCCGGGCACTGGCAGACTTTGGGGTTCATGGCCAACTGTGGACTGGGGTTTAGTGTATGCTGCGGAGGGGCTACAAGGGAGTGGGAGCACCGAGAGGCAGAAGCGGGGTTTGGAACAGACCAGAGGCGGAAGCAGCGGTGGGAGACCTATCCAAGGGCGGCTGGAGGAGTACACTGACTGGCAGGCGTCAGAGGGGTGACGAGCGGAGTGCAAGGGAGTGACAGTGGAGGACTGCATGGGAAGCAGGAGGAAACTTGTGTGTGGGATAGCTGGCAAGAGTGGAGTTCGGAGTAGAAGGGGAAAGGAGAGGGGGGACTTATGACTCAGAACATATCAGAAAAACAGAGTGACCTAGGAGTGAATCATGTATTAGCCTGGAGAATTGTTAGATATAGAGATCGGACAACAAACCGGAGTAGGACGTGTTGCGGAGCGGAGAAGTGCAAGAAATCTCCGAGGGCGCGCCTTTCTTTCCACACCACACTCAGGGTAGCAAGTCTTTCTGATAGTGAGATGTCATTTCACCAAAGCCCCCCGGTTTACCACAGCCTCAGGATACTCTTTGCATGATTTTCTTTTTGGTACAGGAAGGATTTTCAAGTCCAAAGTCACAACAACCAGAATTCAAGCCAGAATAAGTCAATATCTCAAAATTATAAATGGGGCAAATTCTATGCTAGTGAGAATTTCTGCAAATTTTTTCTCCCTTCATTGTTAATTCCCTTTCATGTTCCCATGTTCTTTATACATAAATTGAATTACTTTAGATCCAATAGATGGGAAAATGGAAAACAAAATCAAGCCACAAGATCTGCCACAATTTTTGCTTATTTTCAAAATTCACAGATGGAGATTCATAATGTTACAAAAGAAATTACATTTGTAGCTTTCACATTGATTCACCCTTTTTGGATACTGGAATGCAAATGATACATGATGCTGACCCTTTTCCACCAAAAATCGGTCAATCCAAATTTTCCAAAAAATAAATTTGGGCTTAATGGTTGGCTCCCAATAAATTTTATAAGGGCAGGCAGAAAGTCTCACCACAGACAGTGAGATTCTTTTGCCAGCCAAACCTCTGACTTCCAAGGCTCTCCCTGCAGGTCATGCTTTGCTTACCCACCAAGACCCAGGTCAGGGAATTGGATAAGAGATCCAAAGAGTTCTGCATGAAGGTTTCAGGTTGTGGAATGAGATGATCAAACTATGTACCCAATGTTTGATGAAAACACATATCAATTTTGAATGATTGGTTAGTCTAGAAAGATTTACAAAGAAAAGTGGGTTTCCTCTAAATATATTCAAAATTGACAAATATAAAATTGGAAACAGAAAAAAGAGCAAGTTGATCTCTTAGGAATGAAAATCAACTGGACTGGATACAACTTGGCAAAGGAAACACATCTTGATAGGCTTTGCCTGCATTTGAGTTTTATAGTGCTTGACGGTTGTTTTGAAGTGGTGTGTAGATGATTGATCAATAATAGGGATCCAAATAGTTATCCGGATATGGCGTCCTTCGCCGATATTGCATGAAATCATAAATCAAAATTCCGATGCAGCAGACTATTACAGAAACAAGAAGGCAACCCGCATCCCCGGCGCAAGCCTCCATCTCTCCGTGACAACTTACTGGATCTGGCGTACCACAGTCAACGCAGTAAACTATGTCTATGTTTGGTGTAGGCGCACGAGGCTGTGTCGAAGGCCCACAACACCACGACCCAAGACAATCACAGCAACTGGAATCCGAAGCTCTCGAGACCTGATTGGCACGAGCCGGAGTCGTGGTTCGGGTTGATTGGCTCGTGACTCGGGCTGCTTCTTTCGCCCTTCTTTCGTTCTCCCGTATGCGCCTTTGTTCAAATCCCCGAAGGATCTCAATTCGCTGGTGAATTTCTTGCATCCCAGCGGACACGTAATAACGCGGAACATGAGCGGCTTCGTGTCGTAGTACAAGCATAAACGGATCCCCGACTTTGAAAGCTTCCATGAAGTGGCGACCGAATATGCCGCGAAATGCTTCAGTGATCCGAGCAATCTCCTTCATTTCATGCGGGCGATGACCTTGAGGTATCGTTCTTTCAATGATGATCCGGATTTTCTCGGCCGAATCATAGAATGAGTCAGGCATGCCTTTGCGAACCGTGTAGAGTTGTTGTCCAATCTCCTCTTGCTGCTCAGGCGACATTATCCGGAGTTGAATAAGTCGAAGCTCGAAGAGTTTTACTATCCAGCTGACAGCTTGATGATCTAGATTCCACCAGTAATCAGTATTGCAGCTTTCTTGGATAGATCGATAAACTCAAGTAAAGCGTTGCACAATCTATTGATGCTTACTCTCTATGTCGACAAATTGTGATTTTTCTATTGGGTATTTAGGATTGGAAAACGCGTCCTTGAGTTTTTTTAGCAAAGATGGATCCGAGATAGTGTCACTAAAGAAGTCGTCCAATCTCTGCTTTGCCAGCGCCTCTAGATCATCTGAATGGTCTAACTTGGGAACAGCATTATTTCGATCCGGAGCCTCTTGGATAGCTTTTGTCGCTTGGTAGGTAATCTCACTAGTGCGTCGCTGATTGCATACTTCTTGAAAGGCGTTTGCCGCTTGATAGGAAGTCTCCCCATTGAAGGTGCCTGAGAGTGATGAGTGGAGTAAAGAGGAGAAGACAAGAAGAGTAAAATGAGAGATCCGCATCCTGATCAGATACGCATTCAAGTGAATCTTGAGGATTGGGATCGAGAGGAGTGTGTGTGGAGTCGCAAGCGAACGAGACGAAGAAAGTGCCCTTCAATTACGCATCTTTCCCTTGACATGTATCCAAGTTGTATCTTTCCCCAGACTTGTGTCTGAGGGTCAATTGGTTCTTTCCTTCTTTCTTTAGTCGAGCCAATGCAATGGGTTAAGAGTGAGACACGTTTAGAAACCCACCCTGGCAGCCATCAAACAAGATATTTTGACTTCCTCACCTGTTTATGTACGATGGCGCCGGAGTCCGAATGAAGAGTACGTGCCGTCTGAGAGCAGATTGAGACAGGGCCAATGCCGGTGGTTTAATCCCCATCGTTTCGAGTTGTTGAAACCTGCTCAAAAGTTAATCCCGAGATGGCTGGCATCCGCTGGGGTCATGGTTTTCAAAAAGGTGGTTAATACTTTTATAGAATTGATTTCTAGCCAAATACATACATACACCACCGGGCGTGGTGGATGGCATTTGGACACCCAATCGGATGTACCAAATGCCATCCGCGCTTGGCCCTGCAACGAGCATCCATCGGATGCGACTTGCATATTGCTGAACCCGGATGGCAGGGCCAAACCATCCATCGGATGGTAGGATTAGAAGCCCTCAGGGCCAAAAAATGCCAGGCCTTGGGTTTGAACCCATGACCTACAGGTGCTGCCACCAGGGACTTCACGGAGGCAGTACCTTTCCACTCGACTATACTAGATTACACTACACACTACGGGCAATTAGGTGACGTTCCGCGCGGGAGCGTCACCTAATTGCCCGTAGTGTTATTTATACTTCGCTGGTCAGAGAGTCAACTAGATACCCCGCGCTGCATTTTTGGATCGTTTTTCGACCATCGACCACCTTTTGAGATGATTTTTCGACAATCGACCCTTTTTTTTCCACTGCCGGACCCGGGTGAAAACCCTAACTTAGCTAAGTCCCTGCCCTCCTTTGTCGGAGTGGTAAACCACTTGTCGCATTGCGCCGACCGGAGGGAGGGACTTACGTGGAAAGGCGACCCCGCGGCCTGAAAGCATTAGAAAATTTGGCGGGGACAATCTCGTAATCATCCCTACTCCATTTTGTATGATTGAATTTTCCAAATTTTTCGATTTTCTTGATCGCCTCGCTTGTCTCTATCTTTCTAGACCCTCCCGGTGTTGCCAGCTCATCAGCATGATAGCCAATCACTCTTTTCATGTCTCTTGGGGTCATGGAAGATGGCCTTTGTATCTTCCGGTATGTTCCTGAGTTTCTAGGATCTTCAACACTAGTGAGATGAATTCACAATAATATGTGGTTTCATGCTCCATTTACTATTGATGGCCAGCCACAGTATTCATGTGGAAGCTCTCGTACATCGGATGAGGCACCTACTACAGGAGACACCTCCCAAAGACCTCTGAGCAAAGCAATCATGAAAAGCTCAGTGGGCCAGCAATGGGTCACCCCACCAGCTCATTCAGTCAAGAGATCGAATCTCCTGGAAAGTGTAGCCGTGCTACAAGGAGCCAGGGGCCGATGGCCGCTCAGAAGCCTCACAGAGGTGAGTAGAACTCGCGACCCCCCTGCGGAACGCAGGAGGCTCGCTCATTTCATGCCGAAAGAGGCATTCCTTCTCTCTTTCGTCATCTCGTAGCCGCAGGGGCTTGTTCCTGTACCGTGTAGTCCAGTCACGCCCCTTAGTGGCCCTGTCAGTTTCCTTGTTTTCGTTGTTCGAGGCCAATATATAATTGGCCTCTTTGTTGTAGGGGTTTCTTCCCCAGTTCTCTGCTCTTTCTTCTAGAAATTCAGAGTTCAGCTCGTTTCAGCATCTTTTCACGCGCCTCTCTTCTCCTAGGCCTCCTTAGCCTGAAGAGCCCCGCTTCAGTGGTAGCGAGAGATAATTTACTATTCGACAATTAAACCCAAAAATCGAAAAAAAAAAAAAACTACTGTATCTACTTCTTCGCTTTAGACCTACCCGGCATAAACCAAAACGTTAGTTGGAAAAAGTTTCTCTGGATAAGTCCCGCCTGACCTGTCTTTACAGACCGTTAGTCGGGCCCCTTCTTTCTTCTACTATTATTATCCCGGTCGACCGTGTCTTGCGTCAGCAGTCGTAGAGTAGTCCTGTTTTTTCCTTTGGGATCAATCCGCTCAGAAGGATTGAAACCTCTGGGGTCGAGGTCTAGACTGAGCATAGTGCTTGAGAAGTTTTGACGAAAAGAGGAGCAGCAGTTAGCTTACTTTCTGTATCCCACTCCTCCTTTGTGACTAGATGAATATCGGAAAAGTCGAGCATAGCCCGAAAGGGAAGAAGGCGGCGACGGGCGACGACCCAGGAACTGCCCCACCAGCACCCGCGAATCAGGAGTACTATACGGCGGAAGAGGTGGCCAACTTGACCGATTCTCAACGTCAGTGGCTCTCTCAGAAAAATAAAAAAACTTACCGAGCGGAAAGTGAGGATCTGATCGATTACGAGGATGATCCTGTAGGTCCCTCAACTCAAGCGTCGTCCTCCAAAACGGCGGGTAGAATTGAAGCATCTCTGACGGGTGCATTTAAACAGATGAATGTTGATCCCAAGAATCAACCAGCTGGGCACGACGCTGCCTCGGTCCCGACCAGGACTGCCGCCGCTGTCAAGGAAGAGTCAGCCGAGCCAGAATATGAGGAGCCCGAGATGGAGCTCCCCCTGGTGACCGACCCCAGCAAAGTGCTCAAGGGTTGGCCGGACAGAGACTGTCCTCGGTTTTCAGGCGCGGTCGGTGAGAGTGCCGCGGACTGGTTGAAGACCGTCGCCGTGCTCTTAGAGGATCGCCAGGCCCACCCAGGCATCTGGCACCGAACCGCCGGACAGCGGTTGAGCGGAAAGACATTCCGAGATTGGACCGAGTCGTCCATCGCTGGCACGCGTCCCAAGAACTGGGAGCAGTTCAAGACGTGGCTCCTACGCTTAAACCCGTTAGGAACCACGCCGGCGTTGGTTTCGGCGGAGTTGAATCGATTGCGCCAGGGACCGAACGAGGCGGTCCAGCTGTTCTACGAGCGTTTCAGTGCTTGGCAAGTCAAGGCCAACACCATCGGTTTCGCCCACGACGAGCAGACGGCGTTTATCCAGAGGCTCAATCCGGGCCTAAGCAAAGAGGTGACAAAGTTTGTCACGGGAGAGACGATCCGTGGCGCAAAGGTCACGATGGATCAAGTCTTCATGGCAGCCGTCGCCAACGACCAGCACCACCGAGACTCGCAAGCGGCGCCAGTTGCCGGGGGATCGGGATCGGGCAAGCGTCGAGCGGACGGCGAGGGAGGCGGCTCCGATAAGAAGAAGAATGGCTATCCCTGCCATAATTGTAAGCAAACGGGGCACCGTGTTAACAAGTGCCCTGAGCCCAAGACCGATGCCCAAAAGGCTTGGGAGGCGAAGAACGCCCAGAAAAAGAATGAAAAAAAAGAATAGTTGGTGAGGAAATGTCTCTCCCACCGACAGCAGTTGTAGTTTCTTCTTCTCTAAGCAATATTAATCTTATTGAAAAAGACCTATGTGAGCATGATTGTGAGAAAAGTCACAGTGAGTTAGTATCAGCTGAGTTTAGTGCAGGATGCCCAGGCATGGGGACTGCCGGATCGGAAGTAGCGGCACCGCCCGACGAAGAGTCGTTGACACCCGCCACCGATCTTGTAAGCGACTGTTTATGTGAGGATGGTGTCCATTCAGTCGAAGCGGCCTTTGATGAACCCCGAGGGGTTCGTGCCGAGTTTCACCATTTAGTTGAGGGCCGTTTGGCCAGGGTCCTCCTTGACACCGGCGCTGGCTTGTCGTATGTGTCTACTTCTTTTGTTTCAGATCGGAACCTACTAATCTTTCGTTCATCTGCTTCGTTTAGAGTTTCCGGAGCTTTTGGTGAACAGATATCAGACGATCGATTAGCTACGGTTCGTTTGACCCTAGCGGAGGTCCAGTTTTCCGTAGTTTGCCGGGTAGCACCGCTGTCGAATTACGACGTCATCCTTGGCCGCGATTGGATAGCATCCAACGTAGTTCTCACAGACTGGGATACAAATACTTGGCATCTAAGGGATGGCAGCGGTAATGTTATCCAATTCTGTCTAGCATCGTCGGCGGTTTGTAGCATGTTAACCCATGAGTTAGCTGTTATGACTGACGAGGAAGAAATCTTTCTCCCTAGATCCATCCGGCGCCATGAGTTCTATGAAGGGGCCCGGGAGTCATTTATTTGTCTCATGGAATCAGAGGGAGTGGCTGGGCCGAGGGACGAACAACCTGTGGGCTTACCTACGGTGTTTGGAACCGACGCCCCGCTCCGAGAATCGTTGCAGTCATTAGTGACTCGCTTCGGAGAGGTCTTCGGACCAATAACTAGAGCCTCGGACAAGCCGAGAACAATTGAGCATCTGGTTAATACCGGAGAGGCACAGCCAGTCCACCAACCAGTACGACAGCTGTCGCCAGCCCTTTTGGGTACGCTCAAAGAACGACTGGCTGGGCTGCAGGAGGCGGGATTTATTCGCCCATCTACCTCGGCCTGGTCATCACCTATAGTAATGGTGAGGCAGCCAACTTCAGGGAAAGTTCGGCTCTGCGTAGATTATCGTAAGGTTAACGCACTTACGAAGAAAGATCGCCATCCGCTTCCCATCATCCAGGAATGTTTTGACGCATTGAGGGGCGCGAAGTTCTTTTCAAAGATCAATCTGCAGCAGGGGTTTCATCAAATGAAGATTGCGGACCAGGACGTCCCTAAAACGGCGTTCGGAACGAAGTATGGGCACTTTGAGTGGCTCGTAATGCCGTTTGGATTAGTAAACGCACCCAGTACCTTCCAGAGGATGATGACCCAAATCCTCAGGGAATTTATCGATGTATTTGTCCAGGTCTACCTGGATGATATATTGATTTATTCTAGTACCGAGGAAGAACACATTGAACATGTTAGAATGGTATTAGAAATACTTAGTAAAGAAGAACTTAAGTGCAGTGGAGCTAAATGCTCATTTGGCCTGCGAGAAATTCAGTATGTCGGTCATGTTATCGGGCATAACTCGATCAGACCAATGGAGGAGAAGCTAAGCTGCGTCCGAGACTGGCCGAGACCACAGACGGTCTTTGACGTTCGATCCTTCCTGGGTTTGTGTGGCTTTTATCGGCGCTACGTGAAGAACTTTGCCAAAATAGCGGCTCCGTTACATGACCTCACTGCCGGGGGAGTAACAAAGCGACAAGTTGTTCAGTGGAGACCAGTTCAAGACGCCGCATTTCAGCAGTTGAAGAAGGCCTTGACAAGCTCACCAATCTTGCAGCTTCCTGACGTTCTTAAGAAGTTTGTCATGGAAACGGACGCTTCCGACTTTGCAGTTGGAGCGGTCCTGTTACAAGACGGTGAAGATCTGGTACTCCATCCCGTTGCGTTCGAGTCCTGTAAGCTTAATAAGGCGCAGGTTAACTATCCAGCTCAGGAGAGAGAATTGTTAGCAATAATCCATGCGTGGCGGAAGTGGCACGTCTACCTTGATGGGGCGGTGGAGACAACGGTAGTGTATACTGATCACGCGTCATTGGCCTACCTCTCAACGCAACTCCTGCCGACTAAGCGCTTACTCCGATGGATTGAGGAATTTGCTGAGATGGATATTGAAATTCGCTACAAGAAGGGGGTCGACAATGTTGTCCCCGATGCCTTGTCGCGCAGAAGTGACCTGGCCTTGCTAGAAGAAGTGACTGATCAGCTCCACGAGTCTGATTGGCCTTTAATTATCCCGTACTTAGAAGAGGGAAGAGACTTACCTGATGGAATACCAGAGCGGTTGGTTATCCGTGCCAGGGAAAACAAGAAGTACTTTGAGTACGATCCAAATGCCGAGACCCTGATCTATCTGGGCCGGAAAGGATTAAAAGAACGCTCACCGTTTATCGCATTTGCATATCGGTTCGACCTTCTCTATTCCGTTCATGATGAGTTAGGACATAGGGGTCGAGATTGCACACTACAGGTGCTTAGAGGAAGAGGTTGGTGGCCACGGCGGTATGAGGATGTACAAAGCTATATCCGTACCTGCGCCTCGTGTCAGCTACACGAAAGGCCCCACGAGAATCAAGAAACAGGACTTCAACGTCCTTTACCGGCTGTAGGACCTTTTGAAAGATGGTCGTCCGATTTGATCCAGATGCCAAAAAGCTATAAGAACGGATACAATTGGATCCTCACCGTTATCGACCACTGCACCTCCTGGCCGATAGCGGTTCCACTGAAGGAAGCGTCAGCCGATGAACTGGCTCAAGCAATTTTTGACCATGTTATCACGCCCTTCGGGGCGCCTAAAGAATTTCTTACTGACCGGGGATCGAACTATCTCTCCGCCAGCTTCCAGAGTTTCTTGGTTGCGGCCGGAAGTAAGTCAGTCCGAACGTCCGGCTATCACCCCCAGACTAACGGAAAAAGTGAACGGTTCAATGGTATCCTAGAAGCGGCGATATTCCGCCTGAACACGTCTGGAGACCCGTCAAAGTGGGAAGATCACCTCCCTGCGGCGTTGTTCTCCACCAGGGTTCATATCAGTGATAGCAGTACGTATTCACCATTCGAACTGCTTTACGGCTGTAAACCACGGTTGCCAAAGGACCGAAAAAGAATGATTGCTGCCGAGCCAGCAGTACCTGGTCTAGAAGAACTTATGACGCGCATAGAATTGCTAAATAAGACCAGAACAGAGGCGGCGGGCAATACAGCCGTGCGGGCCCTGAAGAATAAGAAGGCATTTGATGATAAAACAGTCTTTGCCAGAGATATTGACAGCCTCGTCGTTGGACAGTCAGTCAAGCTACGCAACGAGAAGCACACCAAAGGTAACCCTAGGTGGTTTGGACCTTTCGAAATCAAGAAGGTCCTTGACAAAAATGCTTACATTATTGTTGATCACGAAGGGGTCGAGTACCCAAGACCGGTGAACGGGAACAGTCTTCGTCCCGTAGCGTTGCGTTCTCTCATTACTAACGATATGTGGGCCTCTCCTCCCGCTATCGCACTACGAGAAAAGCGGGCCGTTGTGAAAGCGGCGCGAGAAGTTATTAAGAAGGCCAAGGCAGTTGCCAAGACCACCAGAAAGAAACCGGCACCAGCCAAAGCTGCACCGGCACCACCGGCTCCTCGTCCAGCGTTGCCTCCGAGACGGCTCCGGCTACGGCTGGGACCGCCGCCCTCGGGGCCTGGGACAGCCCCCGTTTAGAGAGGGGGATGTTGTAGCCGTGCTACAAGGAGCCAGGGGCCAATGGCCGCTCAGAAGCCTCACAGAGGTGAGTAGAACTCGCGACCCCCCTGCGTAACGCAGGAGGCTCGCTCATTTCATGCCGAAAGAGGCATTCCTTCTCTCTTTCGTCATCTCGTAGCCGCAGGGGCTTGTTCCTGTACCGTGTAGTCCAGTCACGCCCCTTAGTGGCCCTGTCAGTTTCCTTGTTTTCGTTGTTCGAGGCCAATATATAATTGGCCTCTTTGTTGTAGGGGTTTCTTCCCCAGTTCTCTGCTCTTTCTTCTAGAAATTCAGAGTTCAGCTCGTTTCAGCATCTTTTCACGCGCCTCTCTTCTCCTAGGCCTCCTTAGCCTGAAGAGCCCCGCTTCAAAAGGCCCCTCCGTTTGGTGGGCGACTTCATCCACCGATGTTAAACGATGAACCCAGCAAAGTGAATTAAAAAAAAACGCTGATTTTCCTAATGCTCTCGAGCAGGCAGGTCGGCCTTGCGCATAAGTCCCTCCTTCGGAGGGTCCCTGCGGGACGGCGTCCCCCCTCCACTGGGAGGGACTTAGTTAAGTTAGGTGAAAACCATCAATCGGACACTCTGAGAAGTGTCCGATTGATGGTTTTCTTGTTGTCCATCGGACACTCCCAATCAAGTGTCCGATGGACACCAGGCTGTACACCATCCTCTGGATGGTCTCGCCTGCCAAGCATCCCTTGGACGCTTTCTGAAGCGTCCAAATGATGCCAGGCGAGCCCGAGCGTCCGTTGGATGCTTCGCAACCAAGTTGCGGGCGCTCGGGACGGAATCCATCCGTTTGCTGGGGGGTTTTTCCAAAAACCCGCCCCTTGGTGTATGTATAAGGTCTAACTTAACTAATTCCCTCCGGCGGTTTCATCCGGTGGCTTGCTAGAGGGGAGGGTCCCTGCGGGACGGCGACCGGCGTCCCCCCTCCAACAGAGGGACTTGAGTTAAGTTAGCAAACAGGTACAGATAAACGCAGCAAACCTGGCAGTGATTGTAAACACTGCCAACTTGACCAAGTGCTACCGAATTCAGAGAGACTCAGTCAAGCTACAACACACAAGTAAACACCGTCCGATACACAAAAAAGTAGGCCCTGATCACTTTCCAGACCTTTTCTTCCAACCTAAGAGCGATTTTTTTTCCCATTTGTTCCATCACCATCCGAATTGCTTAGAAAGAGACAAGAGCACATAAGAACCAGACACGTCTTTAGCCAAGTAATTTCACTCATTCTTCCACAAATGACCCAAATGAAACAAAATGAAATGAGATGAAAGGGAGACCAGGACAAAAAAAAAAAAAAGAAGAACAACAACAATGATTGTAAAAGCAACAACAACAACAAGGGAGAGAAGAAAGAAAAAAAGCAAGGAGATAAGAGTGGGCGGAAATGAGAGACCCAAACAACCCGGCCCCCGGGACGGATTCATTGATCTCCACGAAACACAAAGCTCGGGAGACAAAAACGCTGAGTGAATCAAAAAAATCGAGAGCACCAGAATTGATTTCATAGTAGAAGATTGAAGGGCGATCATCCAATTGATATAGGAGATCCAAACGGCACTTGAGAAAGAAAAAAAAAACAGGATTATTTCTGGCCATCAGATGGACCCGATTGAGTGGTGGATTGGTTGTTGTTCTGAGACGTTCCGAGGACGCCGCCGGCTTTCCAAACAAGCTTGAGTTTAGGAAGCTGTTGTTGTGGTTGTTGTTGAGCAGCAGCAGTAGTAGAAGAAGAAGAAGAAGAGACGGGATGAGGTGGGGGAGAAGAAGGAGGACGGACGTCAGGTCCGAGTTGGAGATTGGAGAACAAGTTGTCGATGGATGAGCCGGGAGCGGTAGTAGATATGACGGGAGGTTCATCAGTCGAAGATTCCGGCTCGGATGTGAGAGGGGAAGAGTGATCGGAAGAGGGGCTCGGGGGAGCCGCGGGACGTGGGGGATCGATGGCTGGGCTGGTAGGAAGGGTCTTGGAGGGGGCACTGGGATGGCGGGGATGAGGGTCGGGCTTGGCCGGGCTAGGCTTGGAGCCACTGGCATGGCGTTGACTGCGCCGGGGTCCGTCGGGCGAGCGGGCGTCGAGGAGGCCGAGGTTCTGCTGGAGAAGGCGCTGTTTCTGCTCGCGGCGAGCGACGGTCTTGAGCTCGTTCTGGGCCTGGCCGAAGCCGTCGACGGCCTCGAAGATCCGTCGGGTCTCCGTGAGCCATGCCAGCTCGTCAACATCCGGCTCCTCCAAGCCCTTCGTCTGGCCCCGGCGCACGGACTCCGTCCGTTTGCAGAGCCGAATCAACCGCTCTAACCGTCCTCCACCCCACGCCGGCCCTACCGTCTCGGCCCCAGTCTCTCGGCCCATCAGCCCAAGCATGTAGCTCAGACTGCTCCCCGTCAACGCCCGCTCGCTGTACCCACCCTCGAGCACTGATATCAGTCTGCCGTGACAACGGGCCTCGGAGAATCGACTGATATCTCGCGCAAATCGGTTGAAGAACGAGGTGGGTAGCTTCTTCGCGTATCGGGACATATCTTCGCTCTCATGCTCGCACGCATCGAATCCTGGACACAAGCAAGTCCCACGCTTAGCCCAAAAAAGTAATCATCATCAGAAGGAAGAAAAAAAATGGAGGAATGTAGCTTACCTGCACTGACAAAGATCAGAGAATGATCTGGATCGGCGTTTGAGATCCGGAAGAAGGCGGACATGTGTTGCTCGAAAGCCTGCCAGGTCTTGGGGTACAGTCTGCCGAAGAAGTCCGACTCATCAACCCAGTCCTCGAGGTGAAGATTCTGGATAAACTGATTGATCGCGTTGCCGACACAGATATTGAGGGAGGCGTCCTTGATTCTAACGGGGTCGCCGTCCTCACAGGGGTAGGAGTTGATGTCATGGAGAGAACTGTAGCTGATCATGAGTCTGCGCTTCCCCGACGACTCCGGCTGGAGGGCGACCTGTTCATTGATGCGCCAGACGATCTCCTGGCTGCCGTTCCCGTGATGCAGATCGATATCGACGATGCAGATCCGGTCGATGTCGTAGGTAAGGTAACTGTACATGCAGCCGATGAGCACATTATTGACCCAACAGAAGCCCATCGGCTCCGAGTTCGTGCAATGATGCCCCGGCGGACGGATGTTGACAAATGCCTTCTTGTACTTCGGGGATTGTTCAGCTTCCTCCTTCTTCGGTTCGGGTTTGAGGACGGAATCGATGGCCGTATAGCAGGCGCCGATCGAGCCTAAGATGGCCGCCTCACTGCCTGGTGAAAGATAACTGGTAAAAACATCCATCAAGAGAAAAAGAAAAAAAAAAACGCGGTTAGATGGGTTTATGAGATGTAGACGAGATCTCTAGAAACCAGAAAGAGTGACTCACAGGTCTCCTTGCGGTAAATGCTGAGGTACCTCGGATAGGCCAAGCAGATTGAGTTCCGAGGCTTGTAAACACAAGCCAACAAGTTGTTCTAGATAGCTATTGGAGGCATGGAAGGAAGCGAATCTATCTGGATGAGCTTGCGAGTCGGAAGAGCTGGCGGGTTCGGGGGAGGACGGACGATTAGGCTGGTCGTGTATTTGCGCGAACGCGGGATCGAGAGTGGAGAGTTTCCTGGTAGTTTTGGTGAAGGTGACGAGGGGAGTCAGGACGAGCGGGGTGGTGATTGAGGGCTCGTGAGAGGTAGCCGGGGCCAGCAGACGGGCGGGTGAAAGGTAGTGCAGGGAATCCCAAGCGAGGGCGGCGGCGAGGCCGAGGTTGACGAACCGCAGCCGCTCGGGCCGCTCGTAGATCGTCGAGCGCTCCTTGGTCCGGCGAAACACGTGCTTGAAGCATTCGTCCTGGGTCACGATGTGGATCGTCGGCTGGGCGCGAGCAGCATGACTGTCGAGGGTTGAAGACTGGTGGGTTGGGTCCGCATGGGGAGTCGTCTCACGCGCAGAATCCATCGGGGCCAGTTACGAGATGGACGATAATTTACGAATCTGTTGGGAGGAGGTGTGGTACATAGATCAGTGTGAGTTGCGCGGACATAATATCTAAACGGTTTATAAATAGTTGGCCAAAGGTAGAGAGAGAGGAGGAGACTTACTGATGAGCTGACTTGCAAACATCAACGGCCCACTTGGAAATAATCGCGATGGCGCGTTTTAGGTGGAGTCTGAGAGAGCACAAGTCAGTTTTACAATGGAAGCAGGCAGAAGTTTCGGAATTCGCACGGCACACCCACATACATAAAACATCCCCACATCACCTCTTGATTAATCCCTCCAGTGGTCCTTCCTACGTTCGGCGTGGGTTTCCTTTGGGTGATGATTGGTCAAAGAGAAGCTTCGATCTGCTCTGGCTTCTAACTTAACTAAGTCCTCCCTGGTGGGAGGTTTGCTGGTGTAAAGCACTGGCTGGTGGCAGAGCCACCCCTCCCGAAGGTGCTCTATATTTTTTCCCTCAAGTGTAATCACACCATGTGATGTGACCAACAGTACAAGACATCAGGGTTTATTTGTATCGTCTCAGAATTTGAATACCCAAAAATGGAGGACTTCAGTGGAAGACTTCCCGTCGATCTGGAAGCCCTTTCAGATCCAAATCTGGAATCCTAGATTCCAGAAATTCCCAGATTTGCTCTTCCATCGTCCTCAATTCCCAGATCTATTGGCCTGTTCCTCAGCCTGTCAAAGGTGTTGCTCAACTTTGATCATCTTGATCTCAGCCTGACTTCAAGTTCAAGAGAGGTTAATCATGAACAACTCCAACGACTGGGTCATTCACCATCACTCGTGCTCTGGACACCATGATTGATTGATTTGGGTTCAACAGCGCTTGATCCGGCTTTGGTTTGAGCAAGTTGCGGTGCATCAACACAGAGAGGAAGATGAGGCAACTATGCTCTTGTTGTCAATGGCGTTTGCGGGCGGTTGGGCTCGCCTCGTTTGGGTTAGGGCCTGTTCGGATGCACGCGGGCCTGAATTTCGTTTTTGCAAGATCTGAATCTGCCCATGGGCTGATTCAGATCTCAGTTCAGATGCCTTGGTGGCCGAACGTGTTAGGGTATCTAGAGCTGTAGATTCAGATCCACCTGAGGGCTGAACAGGACTGTTCGGCTGCAATGAGTCAAAGTCACCAACCATCCCCATACATTCCTCCTGAGACACCATCACAACAACACCAACACGTCCCCTTGAATCACTTCCACTTATCCAATCCCTATGGAAAACAAATCGGAGATAGAATTACAGCTCACTTACCACCATGCCCACCACCTTTTCATGCGGAGGCGAAGAGGCCTGCTGATGGTACAGCAGGCCAAAACAATCTACCTAGCGTATCACCTATTCCAATACTTGAACCGAAAGAAGCCGGTCCCGAAGCACATATCGATTTTGACTGGCGCCATGTGGCTTGATGAGCTTATCAACAATCCAAACAAGATATGCTTTTATGAGAACCTTGGAATGACTGTTCCATCCTTCATGAAGCTCAAGGACTTGCTCGAAAACGAGGGGGTTCTTTACGACTCCAAATACGTGAAAGCTACGGAAAAGCTCGGAATCCTTATGTACATGTTGATCACAGGACTTTCCAACCGGAAGCTCCAGCAGCGGTTCCAACGTTCGGCTTCAACGATTTCAGTGTAAGGAAGCCTGCTTATGATTATCTACCTGGTCTTGAATTTATACTTGAAGATCTAAGCTGATCTTCATGTTTGAATTTGCTCAGTACCATCAATCAGTTAGTGACCGATATTACAACTTGCAAGCCACTCATTAGGAGTTATATCAAACTTCCGCATGACGATGAAGACACTCCGTACGAGATAAAGTCTAACCCACGATTCTCGCCTTATTTCGATGATTGTGTGGGTGCGGTCGATGGTAGTCATATACCGGTTTTTGTGCCAGATCAAAAGCGGTTCATTAACCGGAAAGGATACGCATCACAGAACGTCTTGGCTGTCTGCAATTTCAACATGGAATTCACATATGTTATGCCGGGTTGGGAAGGAAGTGCACATGATGGTCGGATCTGGGACTCAGCTCGGCTCAACACTCTCAGAATACCTGAGGGGAAATGGCTTCTTGGTGATGCCGGTTTTCCACTCAGCGACTCTTGTTTGATTCCGTATCGAGGGACTAAATATCACTTGAAGGATTGGGACATCATTGGAGGACAAAAGTGTGTATTCTAGTGCAGTTCAGTTCTCTTGAGTGTTTGTGTCTAGAAACTAACATGAAATACAAGACTTGCAGGCCCCAAAATCACCAGGAATTGTTCAACCTGCGACATTCCAGTGCACGAAATGTAATCGAACGGATATTTGGTGTGATCAAGAGCCGCTTCGAGGTGATGAACAGTGGTTGCAAGTACGACATTCGTACTCAAGTGAAGCTCATCATTGTGATGAGTTTCCTACACAACTTCATCCGTGTAACCGACCCTCAGGCTGTGTTATCCCGCTCGGACGACAGAACAACAATGACCGATAGACATCAGCCAGAGACAATTGAGTATGGTGTGTTGCATGCTTCTGGAATCACCAGGGCTGAATCTGCTCGTGCAAGCCAGAAGCGAGATGAGATTGCCCTTAGGATGTGGGCTGACTACCAAAAGCTTCTCCGACATCGTCAGCGACATGGAAGAGGCAGTTTGTAAACAATTCACAGCAAAGACCAGTTGTTCTAATCACAATCAATACAGCCTCACACAATCTATTGATTCTATCATTTGCACAATAGAAACAGCTTAATCATTCAACATGACATTGCATAAGTGAGGCAATAAAGCCCTCAAGAGAGATTCCATGAGAGCTGTGAGGAAAAAAACCGGCTACCATCCCAACTTCATACGGAGCCAGGTGGAACGGAGAGTTGCGTTGAAGGAAACATATACCTCGGCGTTGCTGTCCTTCCCAAGGAACTCGACCGCTTCGAATACTTGATTGTTTGACAAGTTGTCCTCGTTTTGCACTAGCTCAATCGCTCGCATGTGAACCGATGGGGGTGGAGCCGATGGAGTGAAAATCAGAGGTGGAATGGGGGCCTGCATGGCCTGGGAGATGGATGAGCTCATTGACTTGAGCTCATCAAGGATACCATCGGGTGACAATGCCGAACCTCGTTTGCGCTTGGATGGGACTGATGGGGTCGACTTAGGTGCAACAGGTGACTGGTGATCATCGTCATCTTCTTCATTCCCAAGATCAACATTGGTTTCCTCATCTTCGGGACTAGAATCGACATCATTACCGACATCGCGTTGGGTTTCCGGAGGGCTATCAACAGTGGTGATCATCAGGTCCCCATTAGCCGTGTTTCCCTCAATTAAGAACGCCAGATCGTGGTAAAGCGGTAACGCTCGTGTCTGCCATCGAGATAGGTCGCGCCCTGCCGCACTCTTGTTTTTGGCTAGCTCTTGCCATACTGAAGTGGGAAGCGAGATCATTTTTGCAGTCTCATCCCAACCAGCCCCGGACAATCCAGCAACGGTCTTGAAGCTTAAATACAGCTTCTTCAACTGTGAGGAGATGAGTAAGTCAGTTTGGTATAAAGATCCAAAGTTTAGCAATCATGAACTCACAGCTCCCCAGCGGCTCTTGCATGTGCTGGCATCCTTTGCTTTAGATTCGGTCACTAGTTCGGAACCTTGTAAAGCAATTGCAACCTGTACCCAGGAAGTAGGTTTGAACCCGTTTGTGGTGCCTGCATGAAGAGATTTTTCATCCTTCAAGCCGTTGATCAAGACTTCATCGTCCGCATCGGTCCAGCGACAGGTAAGTTTCTTCTGGGTGGCTGAAACCTGGGACAGTTGGCCATCGGACACCGTTTGTTGAGTAGCAATCTGCACAGGAGGTAAGGTCGGATTTTGCAACGCTACAGCTAGTTGGGTGGTTTGACTGCCCTCCTCGGCTTGTGTCCCACCAGGAGGTCCAGACATCGGAGTTGTAGATACAGCAGGCTGCAAAACACGTGGTGTAGGTGCTAGTGTCTTCTTCCCACTAATCAGAATAGGAGCGCGATGTGTCCGAGATGAGGCTTTTGGAGGCATCGTTGAATTGATGAAGGAGGAGGAGGGTTGTTGGATGCGGGATGGGGAAGGTGAGTGAAGAACAGGAGGACTTGTCTGTCTTGGAGTCGAATCCAGCTGATTGAGATTCTGAATCTGGATTCAGATACACCAAAATAGCTGAATCTCAGCTTGGTGAGGGATGAGATGCTGGATCCCAGATATTTTTGAGATCCAGAGGCAGCCGAACACTTTTCAGCAGGAGGGTTATGATTCCAGTTGGCAAGATTCTGAATCTCGCAAGAATCTCAGTTTTGCGGGGCTTGCGAGATTCACTCCAGATTCAGCCCCGCGTCCGAACGGCCCCTTAGACATGCTGGAATGTCGGAATGTTGGATGTCAATATATGTTATATCGACCAATCAATCTGGAAAGCTGGGAGGGGATGATGGAAACCCTCCCGTAGATTTGGAAGGCGGGGCACACCGAAAAATCTGGGAGAATTGCCTCCAGATCTGGATCTGGGAGGGCCTTCCAGATCGAGGGGAAGTCTTTCAGTGGAGGACTTCCCGTAGGACGCCAGAAAGCCCCAACCAAGTTGCCTAATGTAAAATGTAGCAAAACAGATTTTTTTTTTCCAAAATGTCCCTAATGTAAATCCGCAAAAAGGTAGCAAAAACAAAAAAGAAGCAGCACATGATCCTTCTGTATGTGGTAGCAATTTGTCCACCAGTTGAAGTTTATGCATGAAATGATTAGAGATTTTTCACCAGGATGAAAAAAAAATGAAATTTATGCATGATAGGAAAATTTATTGAAAAAAAAAATTCAAAAACAAAAACAAAAACAAAAAGGACCCTCATGATGTCACAGGTAGCAAAACATGCATCTGCCCCCCAAAACCAGATATTCCTGGGTAGCAAAAACCTGGATTTCACAGGTTTTACATTAGGTGGCTTGGTAGGGGCTCTCCGGGGTCCTCTTCCCGTGGGTTTTACAGGTCTTGTAAAGCTAGATTTACAGGCTGTAGTACGGAAGCCCATAGGGGAATCCAATCAGCTCACAATGTTGAAAAGCAAAAAGTGAAAAATTAAAATACAGATTTCTGTATTCCATTTAAAATACAGATTTCTGTATTTTACAACTTCAGAATTCAAACATGTATGCTCAAATCACAAAGTCTTATATGTGTTTTACCTTCTGGAATCAACGCTGTAACAGATACAATACATTGTGTGTATCATGGAGAATTCTGCAAAGCTGCATGGCCAAAAACCAAATTTGTTGAATCTACTTGCAAATAAAAGCAGATTGGTCAGATAGTTTTTTTTATTGGGGCTCAGATACATTGTGATACATGGCAGATACATGGCAGATACCGTATCTGTTTCAGCATTGCTGGAATTGGAAACAAGAGAAAACACCTCCTCCTTCCGCAGAAACATACAGACCATAGCACATCAAATCAAATAGTAAATCGAATACTCGACTCGATTCGATTCGAGTCAAATAATGCTGGCTCATTTTTTGGCTCAAATATTTGACTGAAATCGAATAATTTTCAAAAGGCCCCGGAGGAGGTTGCAAAGAGTGTGTATGGGGCCACGGGGACCTTATACACACCCCCTAACCGCCCTATACACAATCCAGATACCCAGCTCGGCTCCAACTCAGGTTATCAGACAACCGCGGCTGACTACGGACCTCGGCCACCAACCATGGCACCTGCCAGCGATCCCCCAACCTCAGCCAAGTCAACTCCAGAACCGTCGAAGAGAACAAAATCCTCGGGAGTTAACCAATCAAATATCTCCGAATACTCAAATATTCGTTGAATCGGTATTTGAGGGCCCCAAAAAACACGTCAAATACCACCGTGCTATGGTCTGGAAACATACCAAGGAAGCAAAACTTGTCTCCAAGCAAGTTTCATCTTCAAACATATTGTAACTTCAAATGGAATAATTGAACCGGAATGCTATGTGTTTGCTTCAGCAGGAAGAAGCTGTTTGACTTAAGAGCAGATCGCTCAAGTCAATGGCCAGCAAACACTATCCTTTCCATAATCTCCACATTAAAAAATCTTCAACATGGTTACATGCTTGAAGTGCACCAGATTTATCACCCAGGTCAAGTTTGGTTGGTGTTGTGAATGTCTCAATTTTGTTGGTCTTATGCCTGGAAATGTGGCTCCCCAGTTACCCAGTCAACCCCCAAATCATTACAACATCATCCCTTCTTACCCTCCAGCGGCAGCCCCCACATCCTCTATATTCCAAGCGCTTCCCGCAAATCCAACACCACCAGCAGCTAATCTGGCCCAGTGCGCGGGTTCCAACACCCATATACGGAATATTAGCAAGTCAAAGCGTACTAAAAACCCTGCTCCTACTCCTTACTCTAGAAACCCTAAACCTCCTGTGTCAGCAACACTCAGTGAGAGTCCAATCCGGATGTTCAAATGTGGAATCTCATTCTTCCAGGACAAAAATCAGAAGAAAACTGGCATCATGAGTCACATGCAGCAGATTGACACAAGCCTTCTCAAATTATATGATACTCTTCAACACCAATTATGGCAGTTGTTCTCATCCAAGCTCCTACGCAAGGAGATAGTTGAAGGTCTTCCCAAAATCCCAATTGGCCGCACATCTCTAAGCCACAACAAGAGTGTTCTGGATCCCGACACCCTCCTCCTCCTTGTGGGACAGTTGACCTTAAAGAAGCCGGTTCAGATTGACCTGATCTATGAGGACAATGGAGAAGATACCAACACAATCCTTGCAACCAAGAAACTGGCTGCAACTGAAAGGTCCTTGAGATCCCAACAAAGTGCTGCACCTTCAGAATCCCATCACCACTTGCAAGTCAGATTGTTCCCGGTCAGACTCCTCACATAACTTCTCATAGACACAACAAAGATCAGGCATATACCCCAACAGCTGTGGCAGCTAGGCCAACCAAAAACTCTTGGGCGCTTGGTGGTATTGCGGGTGAGCTCTTGTAAATTGTGAAGTGGTGTGTAATAATGAAAAAACTGACACCTATTGATTGTATAAAGGCACTGTGCATCAATCCTGAGGTCTGGGTAATTGCCCACAGGCTTATATTTAATCACAATGTTAACTCCTCCAAAATCAATGCATCACTTAATTGATACCACTATCTCAGAGCCACCACTACTCCACTTACTGTCAAGGTTGATCACAACATGCTTGTTGGTCAAGGCAGTATGAGGGGAGCCTTTTTGGCTCAGGTCAAGACTGAAGGTCAGAATGGAGGACCACCACGCATCACTAACTGGGTGGCAAAAGTGCAATACCACAATGAATACCTAGACATCAAACTCCATGCAACCAATGCCCAAATGTACAAGGCAGCTGGACATCTCCTTCAAGCATACCAAGCAGTCATCAATAGATGCTCAATAGAGATGGTCGCTTTGCATCCGGATATCCGCTGATATCTGCATATCCGGATGCAAAGCGACCATCTCTAATGCTCAAGCAATCTACTCTCTGGTGTCTTGAGAGAAAAGGCAAAGGCCTTCAAGGTAATCCGTTTCACTTCATTTCTGCTGGCTCAATTTTAATTACGCAAGTCATGTTTCTGTATGATAGCTTGTCCGCCATTGTGTAATCTTCATTGGTGAAGAACACCTTCCCGCTCAAGTCTACTTTTTGGAAGCTTGCCTCCAAGGGGAGTACATCAAATACTCAAGCAATGTTAACTTCTCTGTCACTGGCAGGCAACCTGGGATAGACTTAGATAACCTGTCTATCATGAACGCTTTTACCCATTGGTCATATGTCATTTCAAATGGGGCTAGCCTTGTATGTGATCTGCAGGGAGTCGGATCAACCATCACAGATCCTCAAATAATTGATAGGGATTATGTGTAAGTCTAAATAGCATGTCATTCATAGCCCTCTGCCAGGTTAACTGATGTGTTGTTTGAAGTCGTTGGGCCAATGGAAATAATGCCTCCAAAGGAATACAACATTTCTTAGAGAATCACATCTGCAATGATGTCTGTAGGGCTTTGAAGATTGGCCCTCCCAATGATATCATGCCCCAAGTCACCAATCCAACTCAACTTCAAAGATTGGTTCAATCACAGGTTGCCCAAGGACTTGGAGGACCAAGTCAAGCAGCCAGATTTCTAACTGGGTCTCGTGCAATGACTGAGATCCATTCCAACTCTGGCATTTGTGCAAACCCTGCCCCAAGTCGTGCTTCCATAGGTAACTTACTCATGACAGAGGTCCATGATGATACTTACCCAAAAATGGATTACTTTGCATCTGAACTGAATCATCCAACTGCTGACCGTACCCCTGTGAACACAAGTGGGAGGTAGCCAAATGATGGACACAACACACCTCATTTACATTGCTTCTCTTGATTTTTTCACATATTCTCTTCCAGGAAATCTGCCACGGCCTAAATTCCTCACTTTCAACTGCTCAAAACCAGTCAATTGCGTGAAAATTACACTCATTTAATTCACAACAGTGGACAATTCATGAATTCTTCTTTTGTTCATCTTTCAAATAACCTGCATCATGAGTGAATAATTTCAAAGTTGTTTCCTCCCCTTCATTCATGAGTGACTCAAAATTATGAAATTCATTCGATATCTGTAGGAGTTGTTCTTTTAAAGCTAACTGGAAGATTGACTGTTGCATTGAAGAGAAAGCAGGGTTGAATGAGAATTCTAGAATATTAAAAAGAAGAAAGAAAAGAACATGATGCTAGCCAATGCTGCTATGCAAAACAAATAGTAAAAATGGTCTCCAAAGTAATTTTCAGGGAGAACATAAAAGCCTGCTACATATCTATCACACGCATTAGCTAATTTGGAATTAAAGTGGGCAAAGAAATACTTTTGGTAGAAGGCATAGTACAATTTTTGTACCTGTTTGCTTGCCAAATCATTTTGACAATCCCATGTTGATGGTTGAAGTTGATACCAAATTTGTGATCAGGAAAGACAAAAGGACCGGATGATATGTCATATGTGGATGGGTCCATGTCAGCTGGCAAGCAAAACCCAGTTACCCCTTTATAACTAGTCAACTTAATTTTTTGCTACACCACCTGCACTCTTATACATTTCACACTCATTTCACTCATTTTCTTATTCATTTCACTCATTTCATTATTAACAAACTCTACATATATGCTTGTATCTAGTTGGCCTTGCCAAGCCAGATATATAAAGTTGTACTGACTGAAGTCTATTGTTCCCCAGACTTTCAGAAGAGACAAAAATAATAACAACATTTTATTTTGATCATCCCTCTTGAGTTTGAAGACACATCAACAAATCGCTGCTTCAAACATGCCTGTTCCCTTCACATCACCACATCACTGTCCGGAACTCTCAGCCTGCACTTCTCAAAACTTATCAATGGCTTGGGCATAAACTCTTTGGATCAGACCAGTTTCTTTCTACAATTCGGAGCCACTGGACAACTCCAGTAAACTTCTGTCGAGCGGATACTAGTCACCTTGGAGTAACCCACCGCTGACAGTCCAAATCTAAACTACCATCAGAAGAGACTGTAGGAATAAAAATAGCAAAAGCAAACTGGGAAATATCCTCTTTGTCAACATGGGGGGGGGAATATAGAAATGATTAGTGGTAAAAACTAAATGTGGAGAGCAGTCAGAGTTGGTTTTTTCTTCTTCAAATTCAAGAGAAGAAAAAGAGGGAATATTATGCTTCTTCATCAAGTCTTGGTTTTCTTCAAAGGGGATATTTGCCATTTGCTTGAAATGATGTGCAATGATTGCTTCAATTTTTTTGGATTCAGTGAAATGTTTGTGAAACTCTTGGCTGTCCTCTTGTTCAAATTTTTTGATATATCAACCAACAATCTGACCTCCATCAGAAGACTTCCTCCAACCAATCACCCACATTAATCCACCCCAAGATTGGCTATCCACGGCAACAGGACTGATAAACGTTTTTGAACGTTGGAGAAAAGTTGATAAATAGTTGATATCAGCCTTGTCTTGATTGAACATATCTTCAAACTTGACAAAATCAATAAATGTGATAATGGATTCCTTGTCCAAAGGATTTTGGAAAATATTTTGGCCGGTCTTGAAAAGATGGAAGGATTCAACCTCCTTGTAGGCTGATTTGATCTCTTTGGGAGTCGGTGGGCGAATTGGTTTCTCTTTCTCAATTGGAATGGTCAGATAGAGGTCAAGTTCCTCATACTTAACTTCTCTCCAATTGACAAAATGGGTTGTATTGTCTGGGTTGAGACAATGGTGGGCCGCTACACTACACTACGCTATTTGGCCACTACATGTTAGCGTAGTTGCTTTTTTTGCTGGAAATCCTGTAGTGTTAGTTCACGCTACACACCTCTGAGCTAACTGCCAGCGTAGCGTGAAATTTTTCCCTCAATTTTTTTTAGTTTTAACTTGAAATAATTGCCACTAAACTAACAAGTAGCGTAACTTTTTCCAAGCTAACAAAACTTCCACTAACCAACAGCGTAACTGAGTTGACGCTAACATTTAGCGTAACTTATACCAAATTAAGCTACACTACGCTACACTACATGCCTAGTTATGCTAAACTACATTAGAAGTACATGTAGTGTAGTGTAACTCATCAATTAGAGAAATTGATGTGTCAAGCTGGATTTTTGCACAACTTATGTGAAATTTTCATATGACTGATACGGCCGAGGTCCACGGTGATGATTTTCTATGTCCCATGATTGCACACAATCCCACAGAAAATGAACAGCACAAGATGTGAAGAAAAACAAACTGAGGATGTGCCTGGTGAGATTTGAACTCACAACCTCAGCAATGCTGAGTCACATACAAGAGTGCTTCCTTTACCAACTAGGCTACAGATGCTTGTGTTTGCCAGGTCAGTTGGGTGGTAGTTGTCATGGCCCATGCCAACAGCTCCACCACACTCTGGTGATACATAATGGTAGCAGACTATCATACACCTCAACGCACACACACACACCCTTGCTGAATGATGTCAAAGTGGAAATTGAACACAAGTAAGTGTGGGAATGGAACCCAGTAAAGTATGGTCAGAGGGGGAATTGAACCCATGGTCTTAAGGTAGTCTGAGAGGGGAATGTGGTCTTACAAGTACACGTCCGGGCAAGGAGAGCGTCAACAGGACCCCGTAGGGCGTTGTCCTCGACGCTCCAGTGACCGCGCAAGGGGGGAGCGACTCGCCGGCGTAGTATTGCAGGATCGCTCCGCTGATCGACCCCGCGGCACCAGGGGATCACTGAGGTCGGCGCTGCAAGGGCGTCCTTCCAGGTCGCAGTGGTGAGTCACCGGGACACTCCTCACCGGTGACGCCACCTCAAGCGGGCTGTCAGCCTTAGAGCCAGCCAAGCTGGACAAAAGACTGCCTAAGTCCCCCCTTTTCATCCATGTTCCAACTGTAACTTATTCAGCTTAAGATTTTATTACATTCTGACTTCAGAAATGAATTCCTCATTTAATTTCAACCATGGTCACCACTGACCAGTTTTACACTACTCTTCTCCTTCATTGACTTTGTAACATTTCACCGTACCTTGTGAAATACCAACCAAATTGGAATTCCATCTCTCCCAACCACATGTACATGTAATGATTATGTCATCCAACTTTGCAAATCCTCTCTGAGCTTGTTGAGTCCGCTTCCAGAGGATTTTCAGACTCCAGACCAACACAGAACCACAACAACCAGAACCAGATCAAGCAAACACTTATCAAACAGAAGTACCTTACTTTTCCTGCCTTTCCCACTACACAGTGTCATTGGTGTCATTAGTAAGTAACTTCTCATAAGTTTAGCTAGCATCTTTCTGCTTGTTTCCTTCTCTGTCTCTCTCACCTTTCTTTCTCCCTCTTCTCAACCAAAAATGAATCAAAGCCCTGAACTACTAAAGCACACCTAGCTTCTATTATCTCAACTCTTCATGTTTGGTAGTACAACTGAAAACTACATAGGTTTCCCTTTAAAGAGCCTTGATCTTTGATCTAAAAAATTGTGGTTGACCTGATTCATCAGTGTCAATAACCCATTTCAGTTTCTGTTGATTTGGAGGCGTCAGAGTTAGCTCCGCTTATAACAGCCATCCTACAAGGAAAGTAAGACTGTCAGCAGCCATCCAAAAAGGGACAGTAAGACTGCCAGAAATTCAATCATCATCTTAAAATAAACAAAGAACAAAAAGATTATTCTATTCTTTTCCTTCTCTTCTTTCCCTCTCCTCTACTTTTACTTGTATTTCCTTTATCTTGAGAAATACATTTAAAAGTGCCCCCCAAAACCTTGTGTCCTGCTGTCACTATTGAGACCCAGGCTCACACAGGCGCAGCTTAGTCGGCCAAGCAAAAAGAAGAATTACCTGCACAAGGCTCGAACATACACCTGACCCTGGCAGCCGATGCACGCCCTTCTGAGCGAACCACAACTTACAATCAATGTGAAGGGGATCCACCGCTGGACCACCAGTCATGATTGTTAATCCGGATCGCCCAGATTGCAACAAGGTCTTATCCAGCTGTTTGCGCGAGTAATTTTGTTGCAACTTTTTTTTTGCTAAGTTTTTTTTTTTTTTTTTTTTTTTCTGGAGAAAGTTGTTCAGCCAGACGTTCCGAAGAAACACTTCCCTCTACACACATTTTTGGGAAGAAAAAATCATGATCGTTGTAGAGCATCCCCGAGACGCAGTCGACGAGGGAACGACTTTGCAAGCGTCAACTTGCCGCCCTCGGGACCCAAGAGTCACCGGGTCGTACCGATCAGCGTTACGCGAGCGCTTCAGTCTTACTAGCTTCTTACATCGTCATTGCGGCGTTCTTTATGGTCAGAAGAGCGCTCCAAAGGTAAACCGTCCTGCAAGCGGTATCCAGAAGTTCAAACTTGCCCCGCCGTGTAAGTGTTAAAAAATGGCAGGGGGCTAAAATTGAGTGGCCCCCAGTACCAACTGGAAAAAAATGATGATCAATTGAGGGGATCTGGATGTAGGCCCCCCAATCAGGCACTGTCTTCAGGGTAGACTAGCGCTAGTCATGTGGTCATGTAACAACATAGTCAGTTACGCTAACAGTTAGTGTAACTTTAATCAGTTACACTAACAGTTAGTGTAACTTTTTCACCAGTTACGCTAACAGTTAGTGTAACTGAGGGTACCACTGCACTAACTGTTAGTGCAACTTTGCAAAAAGTTACACTAACATGTAGTGTAGTGGGTTCACCCACTAACACCGCTAAAATTTCACTAACAGGATTTTGGGTAGTGTTAGCTGTGCCTTTTTAAAGGTAGCTAACACTACGCTAAAGTTGTTTTTTGTTTTTCAAAAAACCTGCAGTTTTAGTGGGCCGAAAATTCCCGCTAACGGTAACTTTTGTGTAGTGTAGCTTAAAAAGCTAACACTACGGTTAGTGTAACTGGCCCACCGTTGGTTGAGAGTTCTTCGGAGAAGCTGGTCTCAAGTCTGCTGTTTTTTCTTT